GCAAACTTTGGATCATGATTTATGATGAAGTTAGCGGACACGGTTTTGCTGAGGACCAATCCGACCTGTTTCTGGAAGCCTTTATTGAAGAATTTCGGGTTCCTTTTTGGAACCGCATCCCGGCAAGCAAGAGCCCTCAAAGAGATGACGTCGAGAAAAGCGAGAGACTGGGCGTTGAAACGGCTGCGCAGTCCGCTAGCATGTCGTCGTAGCGCAGCCCAGAGGTTGACTGCGGAGCAGGTCCCTCTCGACATAGTGATTGATTTTCACAACAAATCACATTTTTCCAGCAGACGCCAAAAAAGGCTACCCCGCACAGCGGGGTGTGTGTGTGAGCCACCTGTTTGCCAAGGTTTCTGTTTTCAGTTTTCAAGTTCTGCAGGGGGCACAAGCCCAGGATGATGACTTGTGCCAACGAAGCTAGTCATCCTGGGGGATACCAGACCTGATCAGTCTGGCGTACCTGCAAACAAAGGGATGGGCCCCTGTGCCATCCGAGATTAGCAAAAGGCCCCTGTGCCAAGATTAGCGTTTCAGGCAGGTTTTCAAGGTTTTCCATTTTCAACAAGCTGATTGCATGTGAAACATGTCAGTCATGTTCTGTGCTGCATGTTTCAGTCCAGACATGTGGAAGCGACAGACATGTCAATGTGTTTGCAGTTGCATTTTACACTCATGGCAAAAGGTCAGCCATGGGCTGAGCCTAAATCCTCTTAAAATCCTACTCCTCTGTGTTGGCTACGACTGAACGTTGAGAATTCCCAATCAGTCCAGAGGGAGGATTGCACAAGTGTGCGCCTTCGTGTTTTGAGTGATGCTCAACAGCCATGTGGCGTGAGCAGGGCCGTGCGACTGGGCGCCTCCCAGGCGACTCTGAAGGAGTCACCCGCGGTTTGCATAGCGTATCTTTCTCTTGTCCCAGTTTGCCGGTTGCCTTGAGCAAGGTCGCTGAATGCTTCAAAAAACTTACCTCGTGGTTTCTGAAAATTCTGGTTCGCACTTGTGCAGAATGCAGGGGGACATGGCCTCTACTCGCTACCATGTCCAAAGAAGCTACGCGAGTAGAGGGGATGTGCGTGAGGACGCTTACGCATGTACCTGCAAGTTTTCTTCCCGGATCCTCAACAAGGTCAGGGAAATGCATATGGTTTGTCCTGCCTACCCCTGTTTAGGGAGAGTCCGAAGTGCGCGCCTTCGTCTTTTGAGTGATGCTCAAGGTCTTTTAGATTAGGGGCCTGCCCTGCGTCAGGCAGTTCTTACCGGAGACGCAGGAAAAGAAGACAGCCATGTGGCGTGAGCAGGGCCGTGCGACTGGGCGCCTCCCAAGCGACTCTGAAGGCTTCCCAGGAGTTGGGGCCAAAACATTTTCTGCATGCACGGTTTGCAGCGCGGGCTGCTGCTGGCCGTTCTTCTGCAGCTGTATTTCTTCTGCCAGGGCTACACTCGCAAACCCAAGCTGTAGCCTCTCTAGACCTTGCATACCATCGACTGAACTCCTTACATGCCTAGTGCTTCCCCGCGGACCCCCGCTGCTCTACTATCTCGCCTCCTCGTTGGGGCCTGTGGTCGGAGTTTACAACTGACGCTGGGAGAAGAGACCCGCGCCATGCCGCACCGAAGTTGCCTGCTGTCACGGAGAGATATAGAGAATAATGGGAGCTTCGCCATGCTTTTGCAAACCAAAAGCAGAAAGTGGTTCTGTACACGGCATGCGACTGCAAGAACGACAGCATCAGTCTGCACGCTGTTTGGGTCCTTCGACCCACTTGGCCCACCGCGGCGCGCAGCAGCTGTAGCAGCAGCAGGATTAAAATGCGGCAGGTCTGGATCGCTTGGATCGGGTCAGATGGCACGAGCCTCACGGAAACAACTTGCGGAAGCAAGGCCTGGATCAGGGTCAGGACGTCCGCGCCCGCCAACAGTTCTTGGAGCGGGCATCTGCGCCTGCTTGAACTCCACCCAGCAGTCTGAACAGCAACATGCTGGTCCCCCTCTGCAAAAGGGCGGTGCTCGGAAGAGGCCTCGAGAAGTCTTCGCAGCAGGCGAGCGCCACTGTGTACAAATGGCTGCTGGCTTAGGTGTCTAGGAACTGGAAGCGTGGCGGATCCTGTGCAGATCTTCTCAAGTATACCTGATCCATGTGCTCATGTTTTGATTATGTCGTAATGTATTCCTGTGCGGGACACAAAAATGTGCTTTGCAGACGCACAAGAGCACGAGACGAGACAGCAGCTTTAAAATCTGAGGGTGCCGCTTTTTGACCAAGAGTTGGCTCGCGGCCTGAAAAACCAAATTCGAAAGCTTGTCAGTTCCGCTACTTTCCACACAGGTACTTGCCAACACCGTCTACTGTCCGATGCTTAGCATTTGGATGCCAGGGGGGCTGTGGACTTGCGATTTGCTTTGCACACTTCCTTGGAACTTAGTGGCAAGTCCTACATACAACATCTCATGCAGCAGAACGGCTCAGTGACAGTGATGTAGGGGTTTGGCGATATTCAACTTGTCACCGCACCATGGACGCACCTCATATGCACGGAGGGTCTGTTCCAGCTTAGTTTGGCGCAACAGCATTGCTTTTGAAGAGCCATATTTTTCAGTCATTCGGAACTGCAGATTTGAGGTGCTGCGAGAGCGACTGAATCCAGGCACTTATCTCAAGATGATGGGTGCGCTTGATCGATGTTGCATCGCACCAGTGGCGCAGCTGGACTGAAGGAAGTTGGCTCTGCTATCAAACCTCGCTTATGAGGTTCTCTCGGTGCCTTTTTTTTTGTCCTGCACAGCCCAGGAAATTGTGGTCACGCGCCCCGCGCAGTTTGGAGCCTTTGACATCAATCGCATTCCGCTCTTGCTGGAAGAAGGGTCGTGTTGAGCATGGAGCTGCCTTCTGTGAGAGAAGATGCTTTCTGAGGTTAGTTGGGACACAGCAAAAAATCAATATCCTACTTCTCCAAGATCAAGCACTTCAGCGGTTTTCGCAGGCTGCCTCGCTGATGTAGCAAAAGTGAATCTCAAACTTCTGGATCCGGAACCTATTCAAAGCATGCTGCTGGAAGCAATGTTCGTACCGCGCCTTGTAAGGTTCCTTCAACCCTCCACACCTTGGCCACTTTGAAATCATCCGGTACTTGTCCAGTACATTTTCGGAAGTGTTTCTTGACAGAAGCTTTTGTTGCCAAATATGAGACGCGGTGCGTGTGCTGTCAACTGCTTGCGGGTATGCCCAGGCATGTAGTCATTGGCATCAACCCTGCGAAGCATCTTGCCTCTGAAGTTGAGCTTGCGCGTGTCGATGGCCCGTGCATGTGCTGAGGACGTACCCCGTCAGCCAGGGCCTCTATCTCCAGTTGCAAGTCGTGAAGTGGAAAGACTTGAACTTGATGGGTAGTGGTTCAGGTCCAAATGAGCGCAAGGCAATAATTGAGCAAGCGCTCTTATCCATGGATGTGCAGAATGTGAAGGCTGTTTTCTTGCACAGGGTAAGGAATTTCTCCGGGCGACCTTTGTAGATATTGGCTGATGCGGTTGGAGGTCTGGGTATGGGGCGATGCCGCTCCGTTGCATGAAGGGGCTGTGAACGGGCTACTTGAAACGCAGATGTCAAGACTTGCAAGTGAGGTCATCTATAAGCTTGCAAAAAAGATCGGGGCCACGGCGATGTACCCTGCCTCGAAGCAGTCATAGGAGCACAGCTGTGACCTCTTCAGCATTTATGGTCACGGCCTGACCACGGCCCAGGTATCGTGGCATCCGTACTTGGCAAGAAGATGGCAAGGCTGAAAGGTACTTGGAAGCAGCTTGAACTTCAATTGGGAGTGGAAGTCGGAAATTCGGTAATTTTGGGTACTGGGTGATAGTATCGGCCAGCATCCTGATCCTGCGGTTGGACTCGCTCGACCGCTAGAAGCTACACTGCGCTAGAGCCCAGTACAGAGTGGCACCAGAGGTGCAGAACCTTTGCTGGCCTGTTCTGTCCTCGTGCGCTTTGCCCATGCGCAGCTTCTCGAGCATTCATGCATTTTGAAGAGACTGGTTGTGCATCTGTTTTTGAAATTCTTAAGGCACCTTCTTCGTGGAGGGGCCGCCCCAATACTCCTCTGTAAGCTCTACACTTCTGCGAGAGCGCCTCAAGAATGGCCAAAGCATAAGTGACATTGTACCCGAAGCTCGCCTGCGGTGTCAATTGGATACACTTTTTTGCAGCAGGAGTCAGGTCAAGCTCTAGCAAGAAAATCGTATCGATGTAAGGAAGCAGTGGCTGACAGAGTCCGTGCAGCTTACGAGGGCAAGCTCTGAAGATTGGTGAGCTCGCTGGCCAGCACTTCTAGGAGTTCCACATCCCGTAGTGAGAGGACGTCGACAGGACTTGCATCAAAGCCCCACGAAAGATCTGGGGTGACGAAATGACAAAGCTGTGGTGGTGGTGGCGGCGGCGGAGGTGGTGATGGCAGCGGTGGTGGAGTCGCAAGTGCTTCAGGACCTGCAGCGAAGTGCTAAAAAAATGCTGCTTGCACTCAGCGATGATTGTTCGCTGCTTGTGGCACATGGGTTGGGGGCGTGATTGACCGACGTGCTTTGTTGAAGGGTCCTTTTTCAAACAGGTGACTTCATCTCCAACCGCCATCATACGCACATGAACTCCACCATCTGGGTGCGCTGGCACACTTCCAGACGCAAGCAGTGCTATGTTTGAACCTCGCCAGTGGCAGGTCACACTCAGCAACTTCGTGCAATACCTTGGCAGAACTAACCAGTGCACCATCGACAAGACTCCAAAAGGCGTTCAGAGGGTGACGCTGTTTCGCCCAGCCAGTTTTGGAATGCTGGGACCAGGCTGGTACATCCAGTTTGTGGACAATTCACCAGAAGCTCGAATACGAGCTGCGGCCGCAAAGGCCGCAATAGATGCCTTTCTGATTTGAAGCACATAATGTGACAAGCGTTTTCTACAGGCCAAGGAAGAAGGTGAAGTCTCCGCAGAGCAAAGACACGACATACAATTGCTGGTGCCCAAGACATGCTCACTTTTTTTGTCGCTTTTCTTGATGAGATCATGTATCATAGTGCCCAGGAAGAAGGCTATAGCCGAATGCAAGAAGGCTGCTGTCAGGTTCGTTGGGCGTCCATCGAAGCAGCAGCTTTTCACAGGAAGGCGGCTTTCAGGAGTCGGAGTTTACTGAGCTCCAGCGCAAGGCATCATTGACAATACCTTGATGTTTCGCGCTGAAGATGCTGCTTCAGGAAGGTGATGCCCCAATCTCTTTCAACATGGCGCAGAATCCTCAGATAGCGCTACTTGCTCGCTTGATGCGAGATTCACCCCCTGCACAGGGCTGGCGCAGCTTCTTCATCCCTGGTTCCCGTCAAAGCTCCAACCAAGGAGGACTTCATGCATTACACCTTTCGAAGCTTCCCGTCTCCAGCTTGATCTTTCAGGTGACGGAGGCTGATGGCAAGAAGCAGCAGCCTTAAGCCCATGGTTCTTGAGCAGCCCAGTGAGCTTCTAGGATTCATTCTGATTAAAGAGATGTAAGAGGTCCAAATTAATTGCAAGTCGTTATGGTGCGTCTGTCCTGCATGCTGAGGAATGCGTTGGCACAGGCCTTTGAGAAACACGAGACTGGAAGAGAGGTGCAGGAGAGCTTCATGAAGTCACATTGCCCATCTACCAGCTGCGTGATGTCGATTTCGCCTGATCCTAGGACACCAAGAAGCACAAGCTTAGTGCTGTGGAACGTATACGATTGGAACATGAGGAGTCCAAGAGGCATATGTGCAAGAGTGATATCAAACCACATGTCGCAAAAAGCAACTAGGCGGAAGGTTGAGCCTGCGCCGGCGTCTCCTTCTGAAAGTTCTTCTTCAGGCGAAGCCTGGCGAATACTGCAACCTTCCCCGCTTTGGCTAAGACGAGGCGCCCTTGTGCTGCCTGTCAGGATCAGAGCCGTGGCTGACAGAAGGCATCATCGTGAAGGCAGGCTATGAGTTGCGGTGGGTATGTGTAGGCGGGCCTTTTGTGCTGAACTGCGATGGTCACTGGAAGGTGATGCACCAAGACCTAGCTGGTGGAAAGTATTACCGCAAGAAGGGCAAGGTCTGTCGAGGGACGAGGATAGGGTTATGTAAGGTCGACCTTGCTCCGAAACGTCTGCAGGTGGAAAAAGTTCGGAAGCAGTTCACGGCAGATATCCGAATGGTGGAGAGTAGGCATGTGTATTTCGATTGCCTATTAGAGTTGCCGTTCACCGTTGACCTTCAGTCGAGCTTGCTCGGCGCCTGCTCGCAGCCTCTTGCAGGGATCTTATCCGCTTGGACCAGGAGATGTTGGAGCCGGGGACCTTGATTGAAGATGCATGGAATGTTTGCTGCAATTTCACCTCCTGGCCAGAGATGGAGACTGGATGGCAAGGACTGTGATACCAAACCTTGGCAAGCCGGTTTTGGTAGTCCCGCTCTGAGATGTGGTGAGAGAATGTGAGAGCACGAGCCCGGATCCTTTTGAGGTCAAGGGCCAGTACAAGGGCAAGAAGGGCCAGATGAGGACTGTTGATGACTGTTGTTGAACTTGCCCATGCTACCTATGGTCAAGTCGTCTAAGTCCTGCAATTCAATATTTCTCTGTTGCTTTGAGGACTGTGGACTTGGAGGGATTCTGTGTGGCAGTGGAGCTGGAGGACTTAATGTACCTGCCATGACATGGGCACATCAGGTCTCCAAGCAAACTTGCTGCGCTGAAGCTACCCAGAGGGATGCAAGGTGTCGTTCCCATCAGCTTAGACTGATCAGGATGGCCGCGATGTGGAGGGTTTGAGATACGACGAGGCATAAGAGCCGAGACTCACCGCCATGTTGCAACCTGTTGGTGTGTCCGGCTCACTTCAGAGGTCTGCAAGATCGAGGAAGGCTGAAGAGTGCGAGTTGTGCGCTGTCGTTTCACTGTACAGATTGTGCCCGTTTACAGTGAAAAAGGTGGGCTCAGCTCTGCCGATTTGCTGATTCTCCTCCATGGTCGACCTGCCTCGACGTACGAATGCTCATTGAGACTGCGTTTGACTCACCAGCTTTCTCATCATCACTGCAGCTTCGCAGCTTCGGCTTCAGGGTTCGGGCCTTCGAGAGCTGACGTGCCCTGACACGATGGGCGATGAATTCTTTGTGGGCAAGGTAGGTCCGGCAGAGACATCTGCTGCAGCTGCAGCTGCTGCCAACGCCGCAGTCCGGACCAACATGCCAGCGCCACCAGCCCTTAACTTGAGCGATTCTCATTTTCCGATGAAGGTGCCGGTGCCTGATGGAAAGAGCAAGAAGGGTGGAGGACGGGGCAGCAAAACTCCTCAGAAGAAGGCCGGGGCTCCGCCTCCGGCACCGGAGTATGACCCTGCGGCTTTAGCTGCCTTCAGTTCGTATCCGCCCCCTTACGGCATGGCACCGACACCGTACCCCACAACAGCTGGCATGGCTCCTTGTCCCATGCCATGTCCACCCATGCCAGCCATGTACCATATGATGCCCTTCATGTACCCACCCATGTACCCAGGCATGCCGAATGCACAGCCACCTCCACCCATCGCCACTGCAGAGAAGGGCCGGGGTAAACAGATGCCGGGAAAGAGCCAGAAAGACAATAAGAAGCGTCGTGGGAAAGCCAAGAGCAGCAAAGAAGAAACTCCACCTCCGCAAGCAGACGTGGACCAAAACTGCAGTCCAGAACTCCTGCTGGTGCGCAATGCTCAAGGAAATGCGGTCAGAGCCAAGATCACCCTGCAGGAGGCGAAAACCTTTTGTCTATGAGACCCTGGGGTTAATGGGTTTACTTAGTGATGCACTTGCAGCCTCAGGCACTTCCAAATTTGCTCGAGTTTGCCCAAGATCAACACGGGAGCCGTTTCTTACAGAACAAGCTCGACGAAGCAAGCTCGGAAGAAAGCTCCTTGCCAAGAAATGATCATGTGCAGGAATTCAGGAATTCGTTCGTACAGGGATAGTGGCAAGTGGCATTGTAAGCGGCAGGACAACTGGTGTTTGATGGAGTTTGTTCTGAAGATGCTGATCCTGATGCTGTGTTGCTGGCTAAAGACGTGAGTGGCAACTTCGTGGTGCAGAAACTCTTCGACATAGGCAGGTGTTGTGGACCTCTGTCAAACTGTTTGGCTAGGCTCACCATCCACAGCATGATGTTCTTGTTTCTGATGCTCTGCCTGCTGAAGGCCCTGCGTGCGCATCCCTGCGAGGCAATCCGGACCAAAAGAAGATCCTCGCAGAGAAGCTGCAGCCTGAAATCGCGAGTCTGGCGAAAGATAACTACGGTTGTCGAGTGGTGCAGAAGGTGCGGCTTCCACTGCAAAAGTGAAGAGCCCCAACTCCACACCGGTTGCAGTGCTGTTTGCTAGCGACTGCACATATCCAACCTGCTACTCATTTAGTTCGAGTGCAATTCATTGCAATTCCTCGCGCTGCCAGTGCTCCTCCGCCGCGGGCTTCTCCAGCTGACTCTATTGCTCCTTTTGCTACTGCAAGCTCCATGCTGCTGGTGTCGCTAGTGCTGGTGCTGCTGGTGCTGCTGGTGCTGCTGGTGCTGCTGGTGCTGCTGGTGTTGCTGGTGCTGTTGGTGCTGCTGGTGCTGCTGGTGCTGCTGGTGCCGCCGGTGATGGTGCTGGCGCCAGCGCTGGTGCTGATGAGGGTGGGGGTGGGGGTCGGTGGCGGTGGCGGTGGCAGTGGCGGTGGGGGTGGGGGTGGCGGTAGAAAGGGCTAGGTTTGATATGCATCACTCCGGTAGCACTGCGCACTTTCGCAAGGACTCAATTTTAGGAAACTTAGGAAGCAGACAGACTGTGTGTCAGGTTTCCTCTTGCAGAAATATTCTACATATTCAAGCGTGCTTTTTGGAAAGATCTATTTTGTAACAGTTGGTGTTCGCAAGTATTAAGAGTCAACAAGCCTTGAGAAAGTTTGGAATACCAAGAGTCCCGTTTGAAATCTCAGGAATCAAGAAAACAACAGTTATGAATGATAGTTGCCGGAGAGCCTCTTTGCAGTGCTATATAGTGCTATCAGTCGCTGAATCACAAAGGCTTGCATCCCTGACGCCAGTCCCACTGCTGGTTGGACTTACTCAAGTTGCATCATGATTTTTCATACTTTTTGCGGTTTAGGTATTTATGGCCTGATGAGCAGATGTACTTTGGAGATGGGCATGGGCATGCATGCCAATGATAGTGAGCACAATGCGAGTCTCCCGCTTGCCGTTAGTATCGTGAAGCTTGGTAAAGCTGACCAAACCACAAACAGAACCAGCCCTTGATAGCGTAAAGGCGTCGTCGCCACAAAAAGGGAGGACCCCTCGACATAGGGTTGCATTGGGCAAATGGTTTCTTAGAAAAGGGACGAGCGCGGGTTTGTAGCGTCCAGTGTTGGCTTAGCGGAGCTGGAGCGATCTTGAAAAGCCAACACCTGGTAACTAGAATTAAAACGTCTTCGCTTGAAGGAAGGTCACGAACTCCCTCCTGCCAGGCCATTGGCGCCGTGTCCAAGGACATGATCGAGGGATCAGGTACACTTGTCGGATTGTAGGTCAATTTTTAAACCAGATAAACCATAAGGCTTTGGAAGGCTTACGTCTTATGGCAGTTCCTGAAAAAGGGTACTCTAGGCCAAGAGACCGACCCCTCAACACCTTCAGCATTACGTAGGACTTTTCAGTCAACTGCCATGCAGTCGGTTAGGAGTTGCTCATTAATCGAAATCTGTAATCCTAGGCTAGAAGGCTGTTGAGAAGCTCCCGTTTGGGGTTCAGGCGTCAAGGGTGGCTGTGTGGACTGTGAACATTTCTAGGATTTGTGTTGTTCGTCTGCATCGCTCAGCCTGCTGGATTCCAGGACCTGCAGGTGTTCTTGGCTTCCTCGCTGCAGGGTAACGTCGCAGAGTGCATCATCAACATGCAGCAAGGCTTACCGCAGTTTATGATTAACCCAAGCGTGCGTAGACAATAGGCCAACAGGTGGTCTTGGGAAGTTATGCGGGCCCAAAGTCCGACAGCCAAGGCATGGCAATCATGTGATACAGAAATGCATCGAGCAGATGCCGCCTGATTCGGTCAGCTTCATTATTCATGCGGCCCGTGCCTGAGCTTTGCATAGCGCATTTGCATGTCAAACCAACCATGGGCCTCCCAGGTGGAAAACGACACTGCGTGCCTCAGCTTGCAACCAAGTTCGCCAGAAGCGTGCAATGGCTTGGCTTTGCCCTTTCTTTGTGTTCTAAGCAGTGGCCTTTCTATTCACAATGCTTAAGCCAGGGCAATGAGGTTTGAGAGTGCAGGTTGAGGGTGCATGAAGGAAAGACCATGAAGGTGAGCAGGGCAGGAGCTGTTTTTCCAACTCATCTAAGCCCGGACCAATACCCGGAACAAAACTGGTGCTAGTCTAAAGCCCCCAGCACATGCAAACTCACATGGAGGTATATTAGCACCAGTTTGACCGCAGTCTGCCGTCTGCAGGAGCTTGGCCTCGCACATTTATGGGTGCCGAGTCATCCAGCGCCTCCTGGAGCACTGTGGTGCAGCCCAGCTAACGGAACCTTGCTTCCAAGCATGAGTGGCTATGCCAGTAGAAATGAAGCTGTTGTGGCTTTGGCGGATTCAGGAAATGCTGGAGAGAGTTCTCTTGAATGCAGAGACACTGGCAAAGAACCAGCCCCTTGGCTAGTCAAGTCAGAAAGCATATCAACTGGATGTCTGAAGAATTTAGGAGCAGCTCCTTTGGGAAGTGTGTGTCTTCTTTAAGAAGCTCAGGTTTGGCAACTACGTGGTGCCTCAGCTTGACCTGACATCAGCCCACATGGTCCCCGAGCCCACATGGACCCCAAAGTGCGCAGGGACCTGCAAGATGCAGTGAATGCATTCTCGGGACATTGTGATTGACGCGCACCATCAGATTTTAGATTCAGGTGCAGCACATGCTGGAGCACGGGCGCCTGCAGGACAAGGAAGCCATCATCGACATCGTCAGGAGAAACATTGTGGAGTTTGCCATGGACAAGCACTCCAGCCCTTGCCACAGTCGCCTCAGCAGCTAGCTAGCCTTGATGTCTTTTCAACAGGCATGTTGTTAGTTGTCCTCTGAGGCAATGTTGTGGGCTTCCTGCATTCAGCCTTATCTTTCATTTGTTTCGCATGTGGTGTTTCAGCAAACTACACTCAGCTTTGCGTGTGCAGTGCGCTCAGTCACAGGTCGAGAAATGCTTTGAGATTGCCACAATTGGGGAGCATGCAACACAGCTAGAAACAAAGCGAGCGCAGTTGATCGACGCAGTGCTGGGTGCTGGGGACGCGACGAGTGCCTAGATTGCACGTGAAAGGCATGAAAGGCTGCTAGCTCTGATCTGGATACACCTCCCAAGAATTGGGAAGCCGTAGCTGCCACACAGGTCCTCTCTGCGAGATGATGACTCACAGGCGCTTCCGTGATATGTTTGGCTGCCATGGTACGCAAGCTGCATACATGTTGTGCTTGTACAGGTACGGAAACTATGTCGTGCAGCGCATGATGGAACATAGTCGTGGAACAGAGAGGGAACGCATTTGGAGAACTTTAAATGCGCTTCCCATTGATTATCGGCTTGGTGCTCAGCCTTCGCACTTGTCTGAAGTCATGACTCCCTGTATAAGTTGAGCAGTTTCTAGAGCCAAGAGAAGGAACAATCGGTGGACGCTCTCCATCTTGCTTCGGGCTGCCGAGGTCAAATCAGCATGGTATGCACATCATGAATGCCCTGCAGAAGGCTGGAGTCTGGAACAGGCAGAGGCCATTCCTGATTTGCGATCTGCATGGGCTGTCAGGGATTCAAGGAGTTCACGCCAGACCAATCAAGTGGCAGCTAAAATGCTGGACATGTTGGACAGTTCTGGGAATCATGGCTTGCAAGAGATGGGCGCAAGGCACGTAATGCCTTGGAAGCCCTGCTTGTTGTCCTGGTATTTGGATGCAGCATGGAAATCACAAAGAAATGTGAGTGCCCGGACATTGCAGCGGAATGCAACAGACACACAGAGGAACCGTTCTGTTGCATTTTGGGTAGCTGGTCAAAACCGTGTGTGTTGCACACGATTTGCCACATGGATGTATCAAAGATGGCAGATGGGCAGTGCCCTCAAAACTTTTGCACTCGGATAGGAGGTCACGTGCCAAGCTGCACATTGCCTGTCTTGAATGCTGCAAGATTTAGACTATTTATCCAATGAATGGTCTGAGAATTCTCAGAAGTCTAGTCAGGGACGCTCCTTGCTGTTTTGTGCTGCTGCAGTTTAATCGCTAGCACGACTGCCACCTCGGCGGCAAGGCGCCGGCCAAGGCCATCCTCCAGCAAGGAACAGCGACACGTGGCGGGAGGGGGGCATGGGGACGGGGGCGCGGCTGAGGCCACTTCATCGTCATAGGGCGGACACGACCCGTGACCTGGGACCTCCGGAAGCCGTGACCCGACCAGCAACCAATGTGGACCCGCAAGCAGAACCTCCAAAAAAGTTGGGAGAGTGGTCTAATCGCCCCAGGCCTCCGGCCTCAGCGGATCCGGTTGCATGTAGACATTGTAGATTGCGGAAACTTTGGCTGAGGTGCCCTTGAGCTTGCAATCGCGAAAGCCTTTGGTGTACAGTGCCTAGTACAGATGGCCTTTGGGTCCAGACAATGGGATTCTCCGCACTGGCCCTTAGTTGCTGCACAAGCAGCTAGAAGATCGAGTTTTGTGGAGGGATTTCGGCTCCGAATTACTGACTTGCACAAGGAAATGCGTTGTGCCAAGGGCAGAAATACCCCGCCAGATTTTACCACCCATGATGTACAAAATTCTTGTGCTGAGAAATTCATAAGTCATAACCTCGTCATACAGATTTGGTTCAAGAGCGGTGCGTTTCCAGCGCAAGACAACTCCGCAGCACCAAGCTGCAAGTGCTCAACAAGCAGTGCATGATAACCTGTATGTGTGAAATGTTTGCACGCTGAACGCTGAGCACGTTGCCACACGAGGGGTCGCAATCTTCTGTAAGAAAAAGAAGCCTTTTAAGATTCTAGTGCCCCCTTCCTCCCCGAGCTGTGGCATATGAACTTGTGTGCCGAAGACGTTCAACGCTCGAATCCGTGTGCAGATGCTGGACTTTGTGCATGCGATCTTGGCGCACAGGGTCAGGAAAAAACCAGCAGAAGGCGTGCAGTTGCCCCAGATAAATTGAACAGTACAAAGTTCAAAGCCAAACGCGCTGCTTTGGTTGACCTGGCGCCAGAGGGCCCAAGACCATCATCGCATCTGGCCCTCGGAACTCATGTGTGCTAAAGTCTAAACTCCTTAAAGGGGGATTATATGGGGGATTACATAGGGGACTACTAGAGGGCTTATTAAGGGGGATACCAGGAGTTTAGACAGTAGCTCATGTGTGGAACCTTTGGCAGTTAAATTGGTCACTTGGAGACATGATTTGAGTGCCATGCTCATGGTGCCAGCGCTAGAGCCTGGCCTGCATGACCAGTGTGCTCCCTGGAGCTTTCCGTTCTTCATCCCAAAAAGCGTGCACCTGAATTCTGAAGCAGCATGCATACGTAGTCAGGTCAACGAAGATGTCTTGAACTGACCGCTGTTTTCCTTGGCTTGGGCGCCGCCGTGGAAGAAATGCCTTCGTGTCTGAGCTTAGACTGCGAAACCGCTGTGACAGTAGCCCAGCCGCAGAAGAGCAGAATACTGTTGATCTTAGCTATTCAAATGCTGTGCTTGCCAAGGCCTGCGAAAGTCTCCACAATGTGGAGACTGCTGGCCAAATCAGCGCATGCGGAGAGGAGCCTCGCTGATGTACCGGGCGTGAGCTACACATTCAACGATGGGTCAACACCACATCCAACAGGATCTCTTGAAGGCGAACATCAGCCAAGTCCAAGCCAAGAAACTTGGAAGCAATAGCCAATCACTGATGCCAGACATGCCTGGCGAGACAGCACTTTGGTGGACTGTAGCAAACTTCCATCTGGGAGTCCGACAGGGCGGGGAGGAAAACCAATCCAGATTTCAAATCGCCATTCCTGCACAATTTCCACAACAAGCAGTCCTAACAATAACAAAGACGACCGACGAGACGAAAGACCAGAACGAGAGGAAGGGGAGAAGAGGAAGAGGACGAATAAGAATAAGAATATGAAAAGAATGAATAAGAATAAAAATAGCAATAAGAAGAGTACACACCTCAAGAAAAAAGGAGCGGCCGTAGAATTGGTATGAGTATTCGCAGTAAGGCAGGAGTACGATAAGATGAACAATAAGAGGAGGCCGCTGCGGCTGCTGCAGCTGTGCTTACACGTTATCTGCCTGTCAGGTCTCTCCAGGACGTGCTGGAAGTCCTACGGGAGCCTTCTGCGCGTGAGAGTTCGGCTAGCAGTTTCCACGCAATGGCAACATATGGCAACTCATAACGACACCAGGACTTCCAGAACGCCTGTTATCAAGGCATCCGCGAGCATTCACGCTCAGGCTGCCAGGCTGGTCAAGTCATCTAACGATGGAGCAAAGAACGAACATCTTCGTGTTTGTTTGGCCAGCAGGCCCTTTACACACTCGCCCTTGTTTTCATTTCAAATGCTCTATTTGAGATGTGGACATGCAGCAGGCCAGAGCCTTAGCTGCATGGAGTCCTTCAAGTTGCCAAGTTACGCAACTGCACCTTTGATATGTGCTGCTGGTGCCAGTTCTGCCACAGATGGCCCGGGCTACATATGCCAAGGAAACCTCCGTGGAGCTATGTGCAGCTTTGCAGCATGAATGGGGCACAATCCGTGAATTACAAGTTCAGGTCCTGGTCCGGTTTGCCAGAGGGCCAGGCCAATGATTAAGGCAACTACTGGGCTGGCATCTCGCCTTGCTCAAGAGACCAGCTGGCAAGCAGTCAAGATGCAACATGGTGTCTCGGGCGGCAGTTTTGCCAGCCATGCCAAAGCCTGCACGCTGCGCATGGACCTTCGTGAGCTATGCCGCCTTCGCGTGGCGTTCAGGTGAAAATCATGTCGTCATGACAACACTTCGCGAACTGGAGCAGGTTGGGGATGTTGAGGACTTGATTGTTTTGAAGGTCTTGATGGCAGCTTGAAGTCAGCAGCCAGGGCATAGCAGCGGAGTTGGGAGGGCAGCAGCGCAACCAACTGCCTGCTTCTTGGAGAGGGGCCCGCTGCACGATGGCATTAAAACAGTTTTTGAGATCCTGTCATTGCAAAATGTTGCGCGCTCACAGGCTTTGCCACGAAGCAGACGTACTACTGGGTGCCGCTCGTCCTGCCTTAAGAACTAAAGAAGGGCCTGCAAGGCTCAGAAACATTTGCATTCGACCCGGAAGGACAGTCATCATCTGGCGCGAGACACAGTGGCAGTGGCTTTCCGACTCCATAGAAGCAGCAAGAGTGGTACATACTGCTTGGGGACAGCCTGATGAGTGGTTGAGATTCGGCAACACAGACTGCAACACAGACACGCCGCTCGTAATACCTGGGCCACAGTACACTTTGACCGAAGAGGCTCGGCAAATCTAGCAGGCTGTTGCTTCTTCGTTTTGTCTTGACATACCGTCGGCCTCTGGTTGACATTTGCAAAAGTTTTAGCGCTACAGGAGCCACGCTTCACTGGGCTTCGCCTCTTGGCCCTTGACAACAGCTTCTGTGCTCGGCAAGAAAGAACTGTTGGCTGTGCCGGCCATGCTGCATCAGGATTTGCAGTCTTGGTTGCGCTTCTAAACGTGTCTCGGCATGATGCCAGGTGTTTTTCTTATGCCGACCAGCCCTCCGAGCTTGATGTAAATTCCTTTGCAACGGAAGCCCAGAGAAGTCTTCAGGAATTGCGGGATCGAAGGCCAGGAGAAGTTCTCCGAGTCGTTGAAGTTGGGGTCTTCGTTGGCCAGCTCTCGAAATTTCTTCTTGCAACTCGCTTGATGTATCAGTTCCAGACAGCATGTAACGAGCCAACCCACAAGTGATGGCTAGGAGCGATGTGATTTCGTGCAGCTGGTTGGGGTAGACCCCTATGTGGGTGCTGATGGGACCTTTCCCGGCAACTTCGCGTCGGAGTTGGATCCGGAAGTAGCCTTCCATCACGCCTCCAGCCTCTACGACGCCTTTCCAGGAAGGCAAGGTCTCTGTGTGTTGCATGCAAAATATCATGCAAAATTTATCAATTTGACATATCATTTCAGTTTGACTCATCTCCAGGGCCTTGCTCCTGCGAGCAACGTCGCTCGAGGTTGCGCAGTCCCTGCCGGACAACAGCCTTGATGCTGTTTTCATCGATGGCTGTCATTTCTATGCTTGCGTAACATGGCAAGGGTCACAATAAGGGTCACATGATTTGAGTTTAGTCTGCGCGCATGGCGTGCTGCAGTCAGGATGCTTTAGTTGTTCTAAGGTCAAATCTGATTTCGAGGCCTGGATGCCAAAGCTTAGAACTACAGCTGAGACTCTGGTTGCGGGCCACGACTTTTCCCCCCAATGGCCTGGTGTCGTGCGAGCGGTACAGGAGCAGTGGCTAGGTGGCATCTGCTGCACGATGTCCATGCAGACTCTTGGAGCGCTCTGCATATCGCCATTCTCCAGACATTGCATGGCCTTGAATGTGGCCTAGCTGTGCCCAAGGAGGAATCATCAGCCTGTGACCCTGTCAACTGATTGGCTCTTCTGGTGGTTCCAACCAGCAGCGACAGGATCGAGCGAAGGTCATAAAGTCCGCTTGATTGGCGTCATGCATCATATGCATCTAAGCCACACATGCCCGTTTTCTGGGCACTAGCCTCAACGTTCGCTCCTGCCATGGTTTTGTTCTGACTTTTGAACAGGAACGCCAATATACCTGAAACTAACTTGGGTGGAACAGAGGCATAGCCGCTGATCATCCGAAAGGAAGTAAGAAGTGCATTTCCAGCCATGCCACATCACACTCTCGGATACACCCACATCCGAGACGGCAAGTCGTACCGAGGAGTCTCTTTGCTGTCAGTAGAAGTACGAGGCGCAAGCCGTAAGTTTCTGCACTCTCCTGGTCATCACTCCGTGCGCCTATCCCAGATGTGGGAGATCCTTCTTGGACCAACAGCCGGCAGCGTGCTATCATTCAGGGGACTTAGCTGCATCAAACGTGCGTTGTTACCATTATCTTCAAAGCTATCCTTCACTCTGGTGGTGCTAGTGCTCACGCTGCCGAAGAACACGCTGCTGCTTCCCGCGCTGCTGCTGCTGCTGCTGCTGCTGCTGCTGCCACGGCTTCGCTGCAGCCATTTCTCGTGTTCAAGCTGGTGGCTTAGCTGGTTTGATGGGTAGCCTTCTGAACCAGTCTCGCTTGTTCCCATCACAGCAGGCGCACTCCCAGAAGCCCTGTACGTAACAAGTCTGAAGCTATCTGCAAGGAGTATCTTGCGCTCATACGCAGAGAAGTTTCCAATCAAAGCTTTGAACCGCGCGGCATGCATGGGAAAGAGGTCCGGAGGCGGCAAGAAAAAGGGAAAGCCCGTACAGACTGTGAAGACTATCAAGGCCAAGGGCCGTGACAGGTCCAAAGGCAGTGCCAAAAACGATAGCAACCGCAAACAGTCCCGGCAAGAGGCCAAGGAGACGCGTGCTTTACGTCGCCGTGCACATGGCAAAGAAGAGGCGATCAATGAAACACGACAACGTCTGCGCACCAAATTGCTGCAGAGGCAACTGACCAGAGGTCGAACTGCAAAACATGGCGAGGAGAGACGTCAGGTCTTGATCGAGTTAGCAGGCTTGCAGACAGAAGCTGGGCAGCAGCGCGCTGCAATCAAGTCGCTCCAGGAGGCTTTAGACATGTCTCCAGAAGATGCTGATTTCAAGGTGCGTGCGCCATTGTTGGGTTTGTACATGGATCAGGCGATGACAGAGGAGGCGACCTCACTGCTGAAAGGTCCGCTTTTCGAGATGGGCGCAGAAACGGAATCAGCGAGCGGTGCAAAATGCGAAGCCATGACTGTTGGTCTGTACTCGTTGGCCCTGCTCAGTTACATATCTGTTCGCGTGCTCCAGGAATACAAGAAGAAGCCGCGAGAGGGCAAAATCGCGGAAGACCGACTGCTTGAGAGACTTCAGGCTGCTCATCGCCACAATCCGTTTGTTGCAGAGTTCATTGCCTTCGCCCCAGCCTATGAGCCAGTTTTTCCTTTGGGGTGTGATTTGCCCCCAGCAGCAACTGAGGCAAGTTTAGAAATCAAATTGCTGCAAGCGCTGAGATATTGCTGCCAAACGGGTGGGCGTGGCCAGGTGTCAGTTTGGCTTGACACTGATCCATTCGTGCGCGCCTTCGTTCGAGAATGTCTTTTTGAAAACGATCGCATGGAGCCCGCGGAACACACGAATGAATCGACTGAGACCCCACCACTGGCAGTGCTCCCAGCCCAGTCCTCCACGGAGTCCTCCGTTCTGACCCGCTGGAGGCGTGCGCGCGAAGCTGGGATGCGACTTTGGGCATCTGACATAGCAGCTGAAGCGGGCCTTCATGGTCAAGAAGAGTGCGGGGAGGAGGAGTTAAGTTTCACAGATGACGATGCGGTGGATGATGACGTCTGCTGATTCTGGATCAGCAATGGGCATTCCGGCGAAAGCGAGCCCTGCATGGTTGAGCATGTGTGCAGAACCTTTGTGTTTGTGAAGCTGCGCGTCCAAGTCCTCAGCACCTCGTTAAATGTGGCATTAGTGCTCAAAGTCAAGCGGTTTCAACAAGGGAAATTAGATTGACGGATGCGGCGCCAACGCCAACGCCCGAGCATTTCGATGAAGAATGCTCGGGCGACCTCGACCGCGACCACAGGCGCAGTCCGCTGGGGCAGATGCTGGCAGGGACGAAGCTTGGCTTTGTTGATGTACAGCTCTATGTGCATGCTTATCCCAAGCAGATAGCTCTTGAAGTCATGTGCTATTAAGATCCACTGAAGGGTGGTCCTAGTTGTGATGTGGTGAGCCCGAGTATGAAACCTTGTCGCAGCGCACTGTTTTGTGTTTGGGTCATTTGATGTAGCGATGTGTTGGCAAAGCTCTGGCTTGTGATTGCCCAATGGGACAGCACTCAGGCAACTCCAAAGAAATGCGACCGCGTTGCATTGAATGCATTCTGCAGTAGGGACTGCTTTCTGAAGCTGTCATAAAATGAGGTGGGCGATCCACGCCTGGGCAGTCGAAGGCATGCCTTAGCAGTCTCTTTTTCCAGTACGTTTTCATGGGATGCCTGTGGTATCTTGCTAGGGCAGTGCTCAAGCAGAGGCGCTGGACAGCGAGTTGCTGCAGCAAATGCTGCAGGAGGCGGTTGTTGCACTCTGCATGCGACCCCAAGCCCCTCCAGCACAGGGATGCCTCAGGGCGTGGGGCTCGTTGTAGTCGTTGCGCAGCCTCAGATTTTTTCGGATAATGGCATAGTGACATAGAGAATGCACAGCGGAACGAACCATGGACAGAGCAAAAGTTGCAACAATGCCGCTTTGTGATGCGTGTCTCATGTTGTGCAATTTCCGGGGTTGGCAAGTTTCTCGGTGCAAACCTGACGCAAGAGGTGCGTGGTTTGACAGAAGATGAGCTGTACGAGCGGCTTACCACTTGGGAGGACGCAATAGTACAATGCAGACACTGACAAAAACAGCGTAATTACATGTGGTCCAAGTTTGGTTCAGGACGGTGATGTTGATTCTGCCCTTCAGCAGAGGCAGCATGCGGAATCGACTCTCCGAGGGGAGGTGTTCAGCACAGCGGCACAGCCACTGCTCTCCTTTATGCGCTGCCCACTCCTCCTGGCAATGCTTGCCAAGGTCACTCGTCTGCTAGCTGAAGTTTCACGCCTGCAGCAGGAGTCAGCATCCGCCAAGCAGAAGGCTTTTTGGGTAGCTAGTCTCCTACCTGCTTGCATTCGCTTGGCCGCCAGAAGCTTCGCCGAGACTGTTCAGGCTATGAGTGCGGAGCTTGTGCAGTTCAAGTCAGCTGAGAAGATGGTGACTTGGCACTTGGATGTGGGCCAGATAAACCATCGCTGCTGCTTGTTTGGCGTCACTCAGGAAGCGAAGATAAGTCTTGCACGGCGACAGTTGCAGTCGATTGCCCGTGCTTGCCTCAAGCGCTGAAGTTGTCTTCTTGAAGAAGTATGCATAGTGCAAGGCACCAACATGCCTTGTGCAGTTCAGGTGGCATGGGAGCTGCTAGTGGATTAGCTGAGCGCTGCCGCTACTTGCAGCGCCAAGCTGAAGTTCTCTTCGTGCAGCAGGATGCGCTGTCAAAGGACGCCAAAAAGAAGAAGCGCCTAAACTGCAAGGTAGCGTCAAGCTGTTTGCCACACAGCACTCGGCCCAAGGCAAGCCCTCGAGGACGGCGCGGCATCGCAGCAACGGGACTCGCTTTTGTCAGTGAGTAGTTTGGTGGTGTAGATGTGCAGGACTGCTCTCGGGAAGTTCGGGAGCTGTCACACCGCCTGGAAATTGCGGAGAAGGATGCAGCAAGCACTGTCCTGCCTCTGCCTGGCCAAGCGGGATCTGAATCCTGCTGAGGACCCGCAGGGAGCGGCAACGACTGGCTGGGTGTCTGGTGCAGCTTTTGAGGCGGAATGGCATGCAAAGGCTATCAGCCGCCCTTAGCTGCTGTTAGCCGCCGGTTGCGTTTAGAGACGTCTGTTCTTTTCTTCAGGCTCCAAGCTCGGAAGTGGACCTTCAAGCTGAGACGGCATCTCTGCTGGCTGAGCGTCGCCTGGCCCGTCTATCGAGTTGCATCTGCTTTTCAAGAACCTCCTTCCTGCACGATCCGAGCTTCCGTGGAATGCCCTGCGCCTGCTGAGGAAGTGCACTGAGGCAGTCGATGCACAAGCAAAAGGAGATGGTGGAGTTACAACAGCTTCTGGCAGATGAGAGGAGTTATCCAAAATGGAGATGTCTGCTTGCGGCGGTTCTCACAAGTTGTCAGGATGCTGCTGGAAAAGCGCAGGATGTCCGCAGCGGCCCCTCGTCATGTAAGGCTGATCAGAGCGAGAGTTGTGTCTTCTGCAGTAGGAATGACAGCCTTCTGCGGATTTTTGCAGTAAAGGCTCTAGCAATTCAGCAAAAGCAGGCCTTTTGCCGAATTTGCCCACACAGGGCTTAGGAAGGTGCTGTTGCCCCTCATCATGAATTCTGCGCACTGTCCAACACAACAGATCACGAAGCGAATAACTTGTAAATTTGTTGGGGGTGTGGGGATCAGAGCGGCGAAGCAGCGTAGACTAAGAGCGAGCGAGTGGTTGCCATGAGGACATGCTGCGTGAAATCGCAGACCTGGAAGAGCAGGCCGATGACGTAGAGCGCAACCGGCTTTATGTGAGAGTATGAGGCAGGGCACTGCGGGGTCATAAGAAGACGGGTGAATCTTGCAGGCGAATGTGTGTCATGTGCTGCAAGTGGAGGTCTTCTTTGCAAAGGGGTCTTCCATGCGAGTTGAAACACGTACAGGGTTACTAATCTCTTTCTAATCTCTGAGGCATGTTCGCTTGCTGTAATTTCCACAAGGCCCTATCATGTAGCTGCAAGCATGGCCGCAGAAGAAGAGATATCCCAGGTAATAGCCAACGTGTCATCGGCGAGATGCGCAGCTCGCTTGAACGCCTCGCAAGCCAGGTTGATGAGTGTCTTGCCTGAAGTACGTTGGCATGGATATTGTAACCGCAAACAGGGAACCCCAAGAATATGGTAGGAATATGATAGAATATAATATAAGGACCTTGGTAGGAATATTGCTACTATATCCCTGCTAGATTCTTGGGGTTCCCTGTTTGGGGTTCCTAGTTTTTGCTGTATGATATTTTTTTCGTTGGGCCCCACAACACAAGCCAACCCAGGCAGGCCGGTAAGTGAGTGAACTCCCGTCCCCTGCCCAAACAGAAAAAAAGTACCCGCCCTCCCGGACCGCCCAAACAGCACAGAAAACGCCCGCACAGAAAAAGCAAAAACACGACCCTTATCTTGCCCGCCCAAACAGCCAAACAAAGCACGCCCCCCGCCCAAACAGCAATAAGGAACAAGGGCTCGGGCATGGGACGTCCAGATTTTTGCGTGCAATGGCGCTCTTGCGTGGAGCGTGGTTACTTCTCCACTGAAAACTGCCACTTGTGCGTAGCGTCCTCGCACACTCGCGTGTAGCATCTTCGCATTTTCACTCCAAAATGAGCTCTCGCATTGTGTGTTTGTAGATTTTCAACGAAGACGCTCTTGCACGGATCGTGATCCTTGCATTTTTGTTCAGAATGGTGCTCTAGTGTAAAGCATCCTCGATCCAGTTTTTCCAGATTTTCAACAAAATGACGCTCTCGCATGAAGCGTGGCCCTTGCATTTTTGCTCAGAATCGTGCTCTCGTGTAAAGCTACCTCGATTTTTTTTGCCAGGCCTTTTTAGCAAATAAGGGCCCCCATGTTTTTGTTTTCTGTTTGTGCAGATGAGGGGCCGCTGCACCGCCCAAAACACCCCCCCCCAGCTCCTTTAAAAACCTGACGCAGGTCGCATGAAAGGTTTGCAAGAATGTACCTGTTCTGATCTTCGTCCATGTTGTGCAGTTACCCTTCCTAGAAGGTGTTTTTTCCCGGTTTCCCGTGCTGCGCCTGAGCGTTGCGGCGAGGGAGCACTTCAACGACATAGGGGTGAAGTCTTCGTGCAGCATAGGGCATTAAATTTCGCTGGAGGCTGGCTGTGCAGGTGTCTGCAAAATAGCAGCATTTTCTTCCTACGTGGGCTCTGCTGTCGCCATGTTGTGCAAGTGGAGGGGCCGCGCATTTTGGAATACACATGTTCTTTTACTATTACTACATTCTTGTGACTACAGTTTGTATTCTTATTCTTGCGATGATTAGTATGATTATTTTCAGTTATTGTTATTATTGATTATTATTGATGTTACTCTTAATCTATTCACGAGTATTGAGCATAAATACTACTAGTAGCATAAATGGTCACTCTTGTGTGGAGCGTCCTCGCATTTTGATTACTATCATTGAATTATCTTTATTGCTCCCATTGTTGCTATTACGATGATTGTACTATTGGTATCATTTTAATCATTATTCGTATCTCATTTTGCGAGCTCTCGTATGGAGTGTCTTCACAGTTTGCCTCGAAATTGTGCTTTCGCGTAGAACGACTTTATAGTTTTGCTCAAAATCAAGCTCTTGCGTGCAGCGTCCTCACATTCTTGCTGAAAACGAATTCTTGCGTTGAGCGTCCTCGCATTTTGCCTCGGAGCATCCCAGCATTTGGGCTTGAAACCCAGCGCCTGCGTGGAGCATCCTGGGGAAGCCAAAAAAAGCGTGCCCCCGCCCAAACAGCAAAACAAAACGCCACCGCCCAAACAGCCAAAACAAAAGCTACCGCTCAAGCAGCAAAAAAAAAGTGCCCCCGCCGAAACAGCAACAACAAAAACATCCGAACCGCCCAAAAAAACAAAAAAGACAAGACAACAAAAAACATTCTTACCCGTAGAGAAAGGCAAGCCCGCCCGTATTCGGCTTGAAGGCTTTCACAATCTCTGTTATTGTACTGAAACAATCGCAGAGCATAGGCCCCTGAGAGCACCTGTGCTGGACTAGTGGGGCGAAGCTTGGACTAATGGGGCGATGATGAAATTAGATATCTTGTGTTCCAAAATTTTCCTCCTCTGGTAGTTCTTTTTCCAAAATGACTCCACTCGGTGTTCCAAAATAATCCCTCACACATGAGTTTCAGGAGGAAGGGTGGTTGCATAGCAGCAAGGCTGAACCAAGCCGTGTGATAGTAAGACTTTCATTTCCAGTTGTAGCGGAGATCGGAATCAGCAAGGCAGGGTTGAGACGGAGGTGTAAATGCAGATAGGCAATTCTCGCAGCCTTCCGAGAAGTGACAAGAATTTGGGCATGTCCTTGCTTCATGTGACGCAGGAAGGCATGTACAACTGATACTTGCAAAGAATGTGTAGCGAGTGGTTGACCATCCTAGGGTCCTAGGGCATAGGCAAGTTCCGTTCGTGCGAGTTTGTGACGCTGTCCCGCTGTTCCCTCCTTGCCAGGGCAGCACGGTCGATGGGGGTACAGGTACTGGAGATGTTCGAGTAAGACTTCGCTGTGACATCCCAAGGTTGCGCCGTGCCAAGGACCAGGCAGAGGTGCACCGAGTTTGTCGTGTATCTGCGAAAGTGCGGTTTGCCTTATATACGTTGCTGCTCTCCTCAGAGACTTCAAGCTCCCAGTCGACTGCAGCCAGGATTGGCTTGGTGCAGTTTGGGCAGCCTTGAATCAGCAGCGACGGGAGCAGCTACTACTACACCAGCGCGTCAAGGAGGAGGACTGCTATGCCCGATTCAGTACCGTCTAGGGTTTCTGAATGCTCGCAGTTAGTGAACACCGGCTGCTATCGCAAGGACGACTGGGCAAGCCGGCTGCAAGATCGGAGACCCTGTCAGCAAGAGAAAAGACCAATCTACAGCAAAATGCACCTATTTCGCCACTGACGGGGGGCTGCAACCACGTGACTTCAAGATACTTCAAGGACAGAGGCTCTGGTTGTGGAGCTGCAGGTGCTGGCCACTTGGCAGTTCCAGAAGTGACGAATGAGGTGGCAGAATCCGAACAACATGCAAAGGTCCAAAATTGTGATCGCCCAGGAGAGAGAGACGCATGCGCAGCGACTTCCGGAAGCGCATCAGGAGAAGGACGCAGATACTGAACCCAGTTGGCTGAGACTGTCATTCCAAATGCATGTTTGAGCTGCAAGCCTGGGAGAGGCTAGAAACGGGACCAAAAAGAAATTCGATAGGGGCCAGAAAAACGACACGGATCAACAAAACCCGAAAATACTGTAGAACAAGACCATTTGGAGTTTGGAGGTCTCAAGGCTGCAGATACCTCCAGAGACATGAAGGAAGTAAGACAGCAAGAATCTATGCATCAAATGGGAGCGCAGGAACGCACTCCAACAAAGAGAGAAGGAAAGCAGTGAGAAGAAGAAAAGAAACAAACCATACTTAGAACGAAAGAACGAAAAACAGGATCCGTAACCATTTTGGCTCAAGTCTCCTGCCTCTTCCTCTCCAATTTTGTGGGTAGAGCGGCTGGGCGCCGGCCTGTCTTTCTCTTGGAGGGTAAGCCCTGGGAGGGAGCAGGTGGGGGGTGCTTGAGTCGCATACCGCGGCATTTTGAGATCAAGCCCAAGTTGAAGGGAAGCCCCTCCGCGCAGGCAATCCTTTACTAGGAAGTAGGACTGCAGGACGGGATGTGTTTACTGCAGGACTGGATGTGTTTTGAGTGGCTGCTTTACTTGAGGGGTGGAGTTGCTAGCGTGGTGACTGGGCGGAAAATAAACCCCCTGAACGGAGAACCTTGGTTTCGGGAAAGCCTTGAACATCGCTTTTCTTTAGCAATAGGGAAATCCTTGAAAATTACTTGTGCCCCGTTTTCTATTTGGGGGAGTCTCTGACTTGGGTCCTTGTCTGGGGAACCCTAAGGCTCTAAGGTTTGCTGGGAAGATTTGTCACGTGTACTTCAAGGGAGGCAACCCCGACAAAGACCATCGTGGGAGAGCCGATTGGAAGGAACGATGCATTACGCATGACTGTTAAGGGAGAAGTAACTGGAGAGAGCAAAGCGTCAAGGTGTCCGGGGAATACTGCAGCAGTTGAGGAAGAAGTGGAAAGCCCAGACATGATTGAGCAAAATCTGAGTTGGGGAGAAGGACAGAACGGAAGCCAAAGCTCCAGGGAGAAACCTTTGACCCGGAAGATGACGAGCGGTAAAAAGGAAGAAGCAGCGAAGCCCCGCAAAGAGGAGGTTAGCCGGGCAACAGGGGCCCACTGTCGAGTGCCACCGCCGGCAAGTGCGAGAGTGGACGAATCCAGGATTGATGACGTGGCGGTGGCGAGATTGAAGAAAGAAAGGAAGGAGCGGCAGTCATTGGAGTCGCCAGAGAAAAAAGGGACATGGTACGAGAACGATCTGCAGCGCGAAGCCTGGACAACTGTGAAGACACTCGGTACAGAGAACCTCCAGCTTCACCAATGAGGGTGAGGGCAGACGCCCCGCTGGATGAGGTGGAAAGCAGCGAAGATGAATCTGTACATTCTGCGCTTATACTGGCGACCGGAACTGCGAGAAAAATCGGAAGTACCCTCTGTCACGGCAAAAACTTGCTCCTGGTTCACACAACGATCTTGGAGTCACGAAAAGGGAAAAACTTTGTTTTCCTTCGCGCTCGCGCAGCGGTAGGTACGTACATATGTATGTATGTATGTATGTATGTATGTATGTATATATGTATGTATGTATGTATGTATGTATGTGTGTATGTATGTATGTATGTATGTATGTATGTATGTAAAAGGAGGAAATACATCGTGTTTTTTTCACACTCGCGCAAAGTGCCCTTCGCGCCGTTCCAGATTATCGTTTCGCCTTCTTATCTTCTCTTTACTCGCGTCTTCTGATTCCGGCGGGCGTCGGCATCCTAATACTGTCTCACCTAGATTCAGGTTACACTACACATGTGGGGTTCTGCAGGACGCGTTGCGCACGTTGGCATATCTGCAGCAAAGCAGGACAGAGGAGTTAGTGAAGGTCGCCCGTGCGCCTTCTTAAGTTGCGCCTGCGGCTTCTGTCCGTGGCTGCCCACTGCAGGAAACATGCTCGGCAAACTCTTTCCCGTCCACTTCTTAGCGTCCAGGAGCTGTCCCACCGGGCTGGTAGTAGAAGTCCGGACTGCAAGAGTGGCAACATCGCTCGAGAACTAGACATTGAAACGATTTGAAAGCACCGAGGTCAGCTGGCCTCTAGCCGCCATGTGCAAGGCTCCACCTGCAAGAGTTGTGCTTCCGATTCTGTAGCCCTGCGAGGTCAAAAAATGTTGGTCCATTTGCAGCTCAGGATTCATGTTCCAAGCAATCTAAGGGCAGCCAAGGTTCTTTGAAAGAAGCAGTGACTTGGATTGCATAAAGGCATGACGAGATGATGCAACATCCACGGAAAGTTCAAGGAAAGCCAGCAGATCTCCTTGCTAGAGCGTCTGAGTCCCGTAAAGCCAATGCTGCAGAACCAGAACTAGTGCCCGCTTTTCGCGTGGCTCCAAAGCTGAGCCATGAGAAGTCAAGAGCTGATGCATTGCAGCAAGCAGATGCCAAAGGCAACCAGTGTACAAAGGGCAGCTGCAAGCGCCAGATGAGATCCTCAAGCTCGGTGTGTCGTTGTTTGCGGTAAGTCCGCCTGCTTAGAACTGGGGTGCAGTTGGGCTGCGGCAGAGTGGGCACATGCTGCCAAGCATCCAAGGCTCAAGTGCGTGTGCTCTTGCAATCTGAGTCATTTCTTGCCGTCTGGCAGAAGGGAGATTGCTCAGACGTTGCGATTGGCTGCTGTCCATTTGAGGATAATGATGGACTTGCCATATCTATTGTCGCTCGGTATTCTTGGGCACAGGACCTGGCCATGGAATGCCGGGCAGACGACCCGCACAGTACAGAGTCCTGGTGGGGAGAACGCCCGCAACCTTGAGATGTCCGATGTCACCCCTGCTCAGCTGAAGGAGTGGGAAGATCTTCAACTGCATTTGCGGTCGTCTTTGCAGGACGTTGATGATACAGAGTGTGTCATTGACGGGCTTAGGAGAGTTGGTGGTCTGGACATCAGCTTCGAGGATGGAACCAATCGAGCCACAGCAGTCCTCGTTGTTTGCGAGTTTGATAACGATTGCCTGAAGCCAGTCTACGAAGATGCGGTGGATGTAGACATGGCGTTGCCCTACATTTCCGGTTTCCTTTTCCTGCGCGAAATTCCCGCATATGAGCGATTATTGCATCGTTTGCGGGAGAGTGCTCCCCACCTAGAACCTGATGTTTTCTTGGTCGATGGATCTGGTCTGTTTCATCCACGGCAGTGTGGCTCAGCGTCTCACTTCGGCATCGTCCACGGCCTGCGCACCATTGGAGTTGCTAAAAAACTACTATGCTTCGATGATTTCACGCGGGAGCAGGGCCAGATGGCAGAAGAGCACGTCCTGCAAAATTTTGGGGACAGCATCCCACTGATTGGGAAAAGTGGTGTTACTTATGGATTCGCCGTTAGGACATCGACTGCCAAACCTAAAGGGAACCAAGATGCAAGCATGCGGCGTTTGTATGTGTCCATTGGCCACCGATTCTCACAAAGTACTGCCAGGGACGTGGTTCTGAAATGCTGCAATGTGGAGGGTGGTTCATACATCCCAGAACCTATCCGATTGGCAGACCTGACTGGAAGGGCCATTGAAAGGGCTTGGAAACAGATCCACACAACTTCGAAGCCTGCAGCCAGACAGATGATAATGGATGTGTCGAACCTTTTGGATGACAAGCAGCGAAAGACAATCCTCAGCATTCTGGATGAAGTCGGAGTTGGGCCGTGCGACAGCCAGCAGCACTTCATGCTTGCAGCTTTACTGTAGCGTGCAGAAGTTTTCAACTTGGTTGTCTAGCCTAGCAAATCTGAGGCAACCTTGGCCAGTGTCCCGGCAGAAAGCATCAAGAGGAAACAAGCTACAAAAGACGAATTGTTTCTGCCTTTCCAGGCTCCTGGGATGCAAGAAGCCGGTGGGCTGGTAGTTGCAGGGGATGAATTGGGCCAGTTGTGCTGAAGCAATTCTCTCAAGCTGTGAGGAGATGGTCACAGATGTGATGGTGCCGGAGCTGCGTGCTGCTTCTTTGCTGAACAAGAGCTTAGCCACGCGCCACCCGCCTGCCACGCCTTTATTTCTGTAAGGCTCTCCGGATGGAAAAGCCATGGGCCGTCCAATTGAGAAAAGCTTCGCTTCGCTACCAACAAGCTGGCAAAGCAATGCGAGCTGTTCTGAGTTGAGAGCCATCCGATCGGACTGGCCGGATGTACAGCGCCAAGCTAGTCACATGCGGCAGTATGAACACTTGGCCACGGTAGGAAGCCGAGAAGGCCCAGCACCATGGGCTGAGCTTGATGCTGTACAGTCAATGGCCCAGTGGCCCAGTGGCCCATGTGCTGTTACGACTTGCTTCAGGCACCGGCTCGGCGGCTTTCAAAACAGGGCTGACGTGAACAGACATTCCAACTGTTCGCGCAGAGACAGTGCATTGATGCGTCAGCCTGCCGCGCTACAGCTTTGCGGAAAGGAGCAAGCATGTGGACAGTTGTAAGTTCTTTTTTTGGTGTGCTCCGGGTAAAGTTTTGGGGAAGTGCAAGAACACGTTTTTCACAGTGAGTTATTCCAATCTTCATTCCGCAGGCCTTGAAGTGCCGCCGTGTCAGGCATGTACTTCGTTTGCTTACCTGCCACCAACATCAATACACTGTTCGGATTTTTGCGTCAATTCGTGGCTCAGGAGGAGTCAGAGCCAGGCTGAACCTCACCCTGGTCGCCCTGGCCTGATGCGGTACCAGCCGTAAGACCTGGCGTGCTGCCAATATCTGCCGATGAATGTAGTCTTTGTGGTGTTGGTCTCGTTCTTTCTGGCCGCGGTATGGCCAACCGATGGCCTGTATTTGCGGCACGACACGCAGCGTGATCTGCATCCGAAACTGGCATCCCTTCTAGCAGCCCTTAACCAGACAGCCAGATTAAAGCTCGGTTCAGACAGATCGAGATCGCCAGCCCCATATTTGCAGAAACTGGAGGCCACCTTGTTGGCAATGGCCCAGGACACATCGCAAATTCCCGCGGAACTCCTACATGGAGTGAAGGATGATGTCATGACCATGGTATCTAATGAGTTGAAGCCCAGGATTGTGACTGAGCATCAGCAAATCCAGGCTCAGATAGCAGAGTTCAGCGCTTTGTTTGCCAAATGTGAGGAAGTGCGAGGCTCTGGTTTGAACGAGTCCTATGCAGAGCAACAGGCTATCCCAGTATTGATTGCCAATCACAAAGCGTGCAGAGAGCAAGAGTCTGCTCTCCAAGATAGACTGGAGACTTGTAGAACCGCCCTGCAATCTTCTCAAATGGTTGATGCTTCGACTTGCGAGTCAGCCAGGCTTCTAGACCGAATCCCAGATGTCTCCATTTGTTCAGCGCAGAATGGCGAGAGTGCAGAGTTTTATCACGCTCGCATGCTGGAGGTATTCAGGGACAGACTGAAGAACATTCGGATCCGGCGCCTACTTTGCGAGAACACAACAGGAGCTCTCAATTTGCAACGGTCAGCATGTGACACACAGGCTCGCGAAGTTCAGCAGCAGAGGGAAACTTGCAACCTCCTGCAGCGCCAGCTGGACTCTTCAGCCTGCGATCTCTCGTTGTCCATGAACACGACCTGCGCCAAGTATCAGGCTTGCCGCTCACAGGCAACTCTCTCGTATGACTTGGTCCACAACACCGTGAAGGCAAGAGAGTCCAACCTGCACGACGAATGGAAAGCTTTGCAGCACATTGAATGCATTTTGGAAGCCATGGTTGGAACTGACATCATGCGAGCAGCCCAAGATTGTGGCCGAGCTATCTACAGCATCTGGCCTGCAAGCAGCAGCTGTTTGTACATGGAATTGAACTGGTATGTACTTATCTCCGTGCCCCACATCCATGGCTTACACCCATGTTGCAAGCTGAATTTGCTGAGGTGTGGCACACCTCGTGGTCAACTACATCACCATTCCGACTTGTCAGGCATGTGAAGATTTAGCAGAAGTGCCTGGAACTGCGGACTACAATGCCACGGTTTTTGCTAACATACCGGCAACTTGGATGCAAGACTTTCTTCAGAAGAACTGTAATGAACCCGGAGAGATGGTAAGAGCATTGTAGCTGCTTCAGAAAGTTGAGGCCAACGCGCCGACTTCAGAATGTGCAGCTTCGTGCTGCTTATCTTGAGAGTGCTGGGCAAAGTCTCGCCCAGGACATGGACAGTGATGCAAATTGATGCAAAGAGTTGGTTGCCCTCGTCTTTTTTGTCTTTTGGAGACAGGGCTATGAAAAGTCAATCTACCCCTGCCCATAGACAAGGTCTTTGGCATGGCAGTTCAGGGAATTTTTGTGCTGCTAAAGCTTGAACAAAGTGCAGGTTCTTAAATCTGCCGATGGCAAAACTTACTGGGGTCTAGACGGTCTAGACCGAGAAAGATTTGCCAATTTTTGTTCGTCAGTGTCGTAGCCCCGTATCAGAAGTGCATGTTCTGGTAATGGCAGTACTCTGCTTCTCTGGCCTGGCTGCACCCCGACGTGACGGCCAATCCATCGTAGCCCTTGTTTCTACCCAGAGACCTCTGGATAGCTGGGCAAATTTTTGCGGGGCAAGGAGATTCTAATACAGGTGTTTCAACTTTCTCAAACAATGACCATGAACAGCTGAAGCAAGTCCTGACTCCGCCGCAAGTTGACGCATTATTCTTAATCAGAGCTGTGGTAGCCTACCGTAGTAGTTTGTAAGCCTTCCAAGGCGGAAACTTGCTCCAACACAAATTACAAACTTTGCTCCGAGTGGACTGCTCGTAGCCTTTGGGCTCCTGAAGAAGGTCGGCCTTTGAGGGGCAAAACAGCCATGGCAGATGCCGAAAAGGCTGACAGGCTGCCTGCAGCAGAGCGGAAGCGCTTGAAGAAGGAGCCAGGGCCGCCCAGGGCTAGCTTGCCGTTGAGAGAACTGACGTTGCTCAGCAGGAAGCGGAGGCCAAAGCCAGGGCTGAAGAGAAGGCAAAAAAGAATGCTGAGAAACAAGAGCAGGTGGGTGTTACGAAATGCCTTGTGGCTTGTTGATTGGATTTGGGATCAGTCGTCCGTTGGTTACTCGTAGCAGGCCCAATCCTCTGGCAAGCCGCAAGAAGAGAATCTGGAGGATACACTGCCAGTGCAGCATGAGACCCAAAGCCCTGAAAGCACAAATGAACAGCAAGCCTTCCAGTTCTATTTGAGGACCTGGATCCCACCAAGTACCGAGAAAACCGGATCGCAGCATTGAAGAAGCTATCCGACCCGTATCCGCACAAGTGGAACGTCACCATCTCGATTCCGCATCTGGTTGAGAAGTACAAAGACATAGACGCAGGATCGCACATGGAGTCGGAGTTTCTTGGGTGGCAGGGAGAGCAAGTAGCTCAAGTAGCTGCAAGGGCACTTGAGGCACCTGAGGCCAAGGCGCATGCTGCATGCTTGCTTCAAGGATCGTGTCCATTGCTGGCCGTGTCAAGAACAAGCGGACATCCGGAGCTAAGCTGCTCTTTTACGATCTGTTCGCTGATGGCACCCGAGTCCAGGTCATGTGCCAAGCGCAACACCATGAAGACGGTGACTTTGCAGAGGAGCATGCAAAGACACATGGCCACATTGAGCATTGTTCTCTGTTGCTCAGATACGAAGTCCCCGTGGCCGTTGAGCAAACAACCAAGGATCAACCGTGGTGACATCATGGGCGTCCGCGGGTTTGTGGGCAAGTCCAACAAGGGCGAGCTGTCAGTTTTTCCCAAGGCTGTAAAGCTTTTGTCAACTTGTTTGCACATGCTGCCCAAAGACCATCAAGGGCTAAAGGACCAGGAAGTGAGGTACCGCAAGCGGTACTTAGATCTCATGCTGAACGAGGATGTCAGGCGTACTTTCTACATTAGATCCAAGATTGTCAACTTCATTCGACACTATCTCGACAGCCGCGGTTTCTTAGAGGTGGAGACCCCCATGATGAACATGATCGCTGGCGGTGCCACGGCAAAGCCTTTTATCACACACCACAACGAGCTGAACTTGGACTTGTTCATGCGCGTGGCTCCTGAGCTTTATTTGAAGATGCTGGTCATCGGAGGCTTGGACCGGGTCTTTGAAATTGGTCGCAACTTTCGCAATGAGGGCATTGACCTGACACACAACCCAGAATTTACAGCATGCGAGTTCTACATGGCGTATGCAGATTACAACGACCTCATGGACATGACCGAAGAGCTCTTCAGTGCCATGGTCCTCAATATCAAGGGCAGCTACAAGATTGAGTATCATCCAGAGGGCCCCGATGGCCCAGCAGTGGAGATTGACTTCACACCGCCCTGGCCGCGCATATCCATGGTAGAGGAGATCGAGAAGAAGGGCAACATCAAGTTGGGGCCGCTTGGCAGATAAAGTAACACCAACGACTGTGTGCGTTACGTGCAGAGGAAATTCAGCCTGCCCAAAAAATCGAAAGCAGATCCTTCGAGACATTTTGGACCGCCTTTCGGGGTCTCAGAAACACGCTCGTGCAGCTAATCAAGCGTTCATGCGGTGGGCTGTTGCCTGTGGGTGGGCCTCAGGGATTCCTTTTCGAAGGGTTTCTGTGCGCTTCTGACCGCATGGCGTGATACATTGCCTCCATGATAGTTTCAGGCGCAACTTTGACGACCCGGCAACCGTAAAGCAGCTAGACGACCTTGCCTTTCGTCTTGCAGCTATGGAACATGATGACTTGCTGCCCAAGCTCTCCATATTGTTTCTGAAGCTCTCAGTGTGCTCAGGTCACAAAGTTGGAGCTAGAATGTCCACCACCGCGTTCAGCAGCAAGGCTGTTGGACAAGCTTTGTGGGCATTTCATCGAGGACAACATTGCCCTTTGATCGCAGTGCAACGAAACGACATGTGTCGTGTCGTTTGTATTATTTCGGCTAGACGGGCAGGGTTCCACCATGAGCCCCCCCTTTGTGGCCGCAAAACTTCGTTGCTTGCCCAGGTGAACCCAACTTTCATCACGGAACATCCTCAAGTCATGAGCCCGTTGGCAAAGTGGCATAGAAGCAAGACTGGCTTGACGGAGCGTTTTGAGCTGTTCGTCAATACAAAAGAAATATGCAATGCATACACTGAGCTGACTCTTGGCGATCCAGCTTTGCGCGAGGCAGGTTGTTCTGGGTCTTGTTAAAGCTTGAAAGAGGAGCTGTGCTCCAAGTGTAGCAGCTGTACCAGGGGCCAGGTCAGTTTTTCTTTTGCTTGCACAAATTGTCCCGAAAGCACTACACTTTTTCTCTGAGGAACGATCCCGAGAGGCAGATGCAGTGCTTCATGGGCCAGGCAAAAGCCGCCCAAGAGGGCGATGATGAGGCACAAGGAGTGGACCACGACTTCGTGACGGCTCTGGAGCATGGCCTGCCGCCAACGGGAGGCTTGGGCTTGTGCAAGTGCACTTACTTAATTGCGTAGGTCCGAAGGTTCCATGTAAGACGAGAGGCAAGGTCAACAGCCAGCTAGTGTGATTCAGTGCAGCATGAGGCTGGGGTTGTGGCGTTGATCGCCTGACCATGTTCCTGTCGGACAAGCAGCTGGCTAGCAGATCAGGCTATGCATCCACAGTCGGGATATGTCAGGTTGCTTTTGCTTGGTTGTTTCAATTACCTTTTTCCGCTGTCGTCCTGCTGCGCGTACTGCTGTTGATGGGAGGGTGACGTTTTGGCCAAGGAACAACATCAAGGAGGTCATCCTTTTCCCGGCCATGAAGCCGCTTTAAGATGGCTTTCCAGATTTGGGGCTCACCTGGTCGAGTCAGCAGGGCTTCCGTGAGTCTGATGGACAGAGTGCCCATTTTTGCCTGAAGGGCAGCCTCAAAAAGAGTTGAAGGACACTTTCCATATTCTTGTTCCAACACTTGCTTTGCATCTCGGGCCTCAAGTCACTGTGCAGCCTGAAATCTTTGTAACTGTCATTTCGGCTCAAAGCTTTCAGTCAAGTAGTTTTTGAGTCACCCGGATGCCCGTCCGCCATGATAAAATATGAGTACAGCAGCTTGGCTGGAGCTTGGCTAGCGGCATCCCTGGATGGAGAGCTTTGTGGGGCGTGATGTTGGTGACTGAACCTTTTGCACGCTGAGGTCTGTACAACTGTGCATTTCTTTTTCGGCTCAGGGGAAGTGTTTTCCCTTTTGCCTTTGCAGTTGCCATCCCATGCAACTCGTCGGCATAGTCCGGTGAGATCATCAGATTTGAGCTGACGTGGCATACCCTGTCTCCCCTGTATTCATGAGAGACCGCATCTAAACTCAACAGATTCATTCATGTTCGCGTGCCAGTCTGGACACAGGATGACGTGGAGAAACCAACAATTTGTTTCAGCCCATCCGCAAGCCTGTTCAAGAAGAGCATGAACACGACGAGGAAGAAGAATCTCAAACAAGCGAACGCCAGGCCAAGCTTACAGCCACCACCGCAGCAGCAGCAGCAGCAGCAGGAGCAGCAGGAGCAGCAGCAGCAGCAGCAGCAGCAGCAGCAGCAGCAGCAGCAGTGATGAAGCATTTTCACTCGTGCTCCCAACTGCGGCTTCGAAACTGGCCTTCAGCCGCTGGTTCATCCAGGACCCGAAGAACAGCTGTCACCCGAGGCAGCCTCGCCGCGTTGCTGTTGTGTCTTGGCAGGTTTCAGCGCTAGTCGTGGAAAAGCGTAGGTAGCTGCCCCAGCCTCTGAGGAAAATGTTCTCGCTCGATGGCACGCTGGATTTCACACACTGGGAAATGCTGTCTGGCAATGGTGGCTCTGCCGCTTGGAGTGGCTTCAATTTCCTGGCAACTTGGCTTTCTGCTGTTGGTCTGGTTTCTGAATTGACTATGCCTACGCTGTTCTGGTCAGGTCGGATTTGTTATCGTTTTCAGGACGTCGCAGGCTGGAGCAAACTTAGCAGTGAAGCGCACTAAGACATGCAACAGATGTAACGTCGTCTGCTTGCAGGCCTACACACGCTTCTGGTCGGCGCTTGGCGACACGCATCAGATGATGGCAGCTTGGCTGGAGGCTGCCAGCAGCCTTGTGGCCTTCTCGAGGACAGCCATGCTTGGCTATGTTTGGCTAGCACTTTTGTGGAGTTAAATGCAGTGATCCTCTATCTTTGGTGGTAATGTTGGCTCAGTGGGGTAGGTGGGTGATGACAGGGAGCAGCGGTAAGGGGCCAAGATGATACCTTCCAGAGGAGTTCTCCTGCCGATCCTCTGCTGGTCGAGAACTGGCTGCACACTGCAACTCGACGATCATAGGCTCATCGTGCCTCGAAAGTGGCTTTGGCATTCTGAGGTGATGCGACTTTTCAGCCTGCTTAGTGCATCAGCTCTGCAGGATCTGGAAATCAAGGGCGGAGTCAAGTTCCAAATTCCCCGTCTAGTTTACGCAGCTAATGGTAGTTTAGTTTTTTGGGGAGATCATGCAGGAATTGACAGATGTGGCTTATCATCACACGTGGGGCCTGCCAACATTGGACGCCTCTGCGATTGACCATCAAAGTATCGAGACCCTGGACAGCTCCAGCTGCCGAGTTGAGCTGTTATACTATTGGATTCAACAGTATGTTAGCGATGGCTCGCACCATGGGGTTCTCATCACGCCGCCCCCACTTTTGAGTCGCACGCTGGCAGAACTTACAAAGGGCATGGACAGATACCAGGATGCCATGAAGCACTCTAAGGTTCCATTTCCCTTTCCGTATGCACAAACAACGTTGACGCTTCTCATATTTCACTGGATCTTGACTCCGCTTGTCATGGTCCAGTGGTCTTCATCAACTGTTGGGGCCGGCATCTTCACTTTTGTGCAGGTGTTCACTCTCTGGTGTTTAAATGCAACCGCAGTCGGTTTCGAGCGCCCATTTGGAGGTGAGTTGAATGATATTGACCACTTGGAATTGCAGATGAACATGAACAAGAGTATAGTCAACCTGATGGAGCCGCGCACACGACGAACTCCGTACATACCTTCATCCACGTATTTGGACATTGATGTTTTACGGAAACGAGATACCATTCATGCGGCTGCTTTGCATCAGGAGGGTTGGCAGCTCAAAGACATGTCAGACGAAAATCGTCATCCGCTGCTTCGATGCTGCAGCCGGTCTCGAGCACGTGGCGCTCGCAGCACCATTGCTGTTTCAACACGTTACAGCAGCAAGCGATATGGCTTCATTGATGGTGAAAGGACTGCCGTGTTGACTATTGGTATTGTGGGCTCTGACTTGTGTTTGGCGTTGCCCGCACTTCCAGGCGACACACGAAGTACATTTGAGGTGCTGAATGTCCGGGGCCAGCCTTGCATCATGCGCTTCAAGCGCATACCAATCCAGGAGCGGCATCTTCTGCATAAGGTGCCAGATCCAGCTTGGCAACTTGTGCTGTATGTGCAATTGGGTGCATTCGGTTCTTGCCCTTGCTACAACAGCAAACTAGTTCTTGGCTAAAAGAGGTAGACCACCAAAGACTTTCCGTCCTGCCGTGCATTCCCAGACACGCTCCTACAGTTAAACCTTAGAGTGGTGATCAAAGCATACGGTCTGGTTGCTTGCTGATTGTTGTGGGCTTGAAGGGGGGCAGCGCAAAACCTCTGCAAAGGAATGATGACTACCTAGACTTTCCCGTGGACTTCATGTTCGCTGCGGAAACGCTCGCGAAAGCCTCCGAATCGCACAAGAACAAGGGCAGCTTGGCTTCAGCAAAGGCAGAAGCAAAAGCGAACCAAGACGACTCCAAGGCCAGGCTTGGCTGCAGTTTTGGGACATCCTGGGACATCTAAAGGCATGACCCTGAACAGGTCATCACTCGAGGGGTCTCTCAACATCTAATCAGCGAAGAGCCAGCTGACACACCACGGGACAAGGCCTGGTCAGAAGTGTTTGCCTGCACGAATGCTTTCCTGTCATGTGGTCAGGATGTGCCAGCCAGAGCTCCTTTGCCGGGTGCCGTGCAGGCGGAAAAGTGGAGCTCAGAACTTGCTACTGACCAGTTTGAGTTTTGCCCCAGGATGCAGAGAAGGATGCGCATGGAGAGATCAGAATTCCACTCGCTGATCCCACTCCACTAGCTGGTCTGAGCGAGACTTGTCAAGTTGACGAATAGATTCAGATCATGCATGAAGTAGGTAAGATAGCCTGCGACCATTGAGGCTGATGAGGTCCACGGTTGTGTGGATATTAGCTTGCTGCGCAGTTGCAGTTGCCCCCAGGAACCACCCAGAAGTACCTCGGATGGACAAAGCGCTCAGACTCCTGCAGCTATTGCGCCCCTTGGTGGGCCAGAGCTAGAGCCGGTGAAGCCCTTGCTGCCAGAGCCTGCAGAGCTCGAACGCAGAATCTCCATAGCCTCGCCTCGAAAGGAAGGCGCCTGCAAGTGAGCACTTGATTTGATGGTCTGACATGGTCTGACAATGCGACAGGTCCTCAGGACATGGTGCTGCCATGGGGTGGTGAGACCCCAGCGGAAGAGGACCTGCATTGTGCCACTCCTGGCCAGTGGTTGAGCAAATCTTCTGCACGAACTTTGAATGCCTCCCGGTTCTACCATCTACATGGCACCATGAGCCAAGTAATCCTGCTTTGCGGGAGCTGGAGTCCGGTGCAGGACCTGGGCGAGGGCAGCGCCCACATTCTTCCCTGGGGTGCTGCTGCGCCTCAAGAGGATTCTGAGCCGGAAGCTGTCGATTCCGGGAGCGCATCGGCTGCAAGAGTCATGCAGTCAAAGAGCACCAGCAGCATACAGCATCTACGAAGTTACTCCGCGGAAATTACCAGAGTTTTTTGCGTGAGGTCGAGCACCCGGGCCGGAGGAGCCGATTTGCGAGGCTGTGTCGGTTCCACCTGACACTGACAAGGCGGCAGAGCTCGCAGGCAGATGTTCGAAGATCGTTTTTTTGAGCAGTCAGAGGGAACCGGAGCACCGTAGACTGCTATCAGGCCCCCAGCAAGAGGTCAAGGAAGCCTCGCTCTCAGACGTCATCAGATACCGTCAGATATCACTAGACACCAAATGCGTCAGCTACTCAAACTAGATGTCCTTGCCGTGCATGGACCAGGACTTGGTCGCTTTTGACCACTGTGACACCTCTAACCTGATTGGCGCCGCAGAATCAGCTCTAGAACAGCAGCCGTCACCGGTGTAGTCCATCTACAGGTTGAAGTCACTGTGAAGGCTGACACTGGGAATGTTTGCAAAGGTGTAGTTTAGTTGTCGTAGAATGCCACGGCTACGGCCTAATACGGCTGGAAGCTGGGCTTAGCTTAGTTGGTCAGGTGCTGAAAGGTGGCACCTTGTCGAAAAAAATTGTCCTGTCTCTGAAGCCGGCTTTGAACTACTGTTCCGCAGACTGGCCTTGACGTTAAAAGGGTGCTGCATGTGCTGGTTCAAGGATGGCACATGGTGCCAACATTTTTAGTAGGCCTCTCAGCACGGCTCCAGTAGGAGCTTGTGCTTTTTTCATATTCATCAGCTCTAAGACTTGCTGATACCCATGCGAGTTGGGCTTGGCATGGCTTGCACCTCCCTGATCTATGCTGTCACTGCAGTTGCCGCACTGGGAGGCCGCAGCGACCTGGACACTTCCCGAGAGCTCCATCAAACATCCCTGAGGCAGACCCAGAACGCGGCACTGCTTCGACGGCATCTCGCTGCAGGCGGCACCGCCGTGTACCGCAGACAGCGGCTGAGCGGAGTAGGCAGCATCGAGCAACTCGTTACAGACGACCCTCCAGAGCCGGACTCTGACAAGGAAGTCGCCAAACAGGTGGAGAGAATCAAGAAGGATGCCAAAACCCAGATGGTGGACACAGAGGAGGAAGTGGTGAACGACGTCTCGCAGAAGCTAAAGAATCCGGATGATGGACCCATTTACTTCTGGGGGCAAATTATCGGAGCGCTCATTTGCTTGATCATCATTTTTAGTGTGCTGTTTGTGTGGATTCGGGAGCGCTGGGAAAAAGGGGCAGGGGCCAAAGAGGAAACTGCATCTCCGCGCGCCAGTGCAACTTCCCTGGTTCACACAATGCATTCTGCAGAGCTTGAGGAGCTTTTGAACTCGAAGCTTTCAGGGCTGGCCCTGCATAATATTCCTGGGAACTTTGGCTTATCGGCCGAGGCTGTCAGCGAGCAGTCCAGCAGATATGGGTTGAACAGGATGACACCGCCCGTTAAACCACATTGCTTGTGGCTCTTGATGCGCCAAGTCTTCGGAGGAGTGTTCAATTCTTTGCTTTGGTTCTGTGTCACTGCGGAGATTGCCCTTGCATCATTTATGGGAGCAGATGAGGCGGATCTGGTCACGCCGGGTATTCTGGCAACTGTGATCACCCTCGCAGGGCTACTGCAGTGGTGGACCGAGCAGCAGGCAGAGTCCATGATGAACTCTTTGCAGCAAATGCAATCTGCAGATCAGGTGGAGGTTTGCAGAGACGGCCAGAGCATCAAGATGCAGCCAGAGCAGCTTTTGCCGGGCGACGTTGTATGCATCGAAGCAGGCCAACGAGTTCCTGCAGACATACGCATTCTTGGTATGACTGACACGGTCCTGGTGGACAACTCTGCTCTGACTGGAGAGTCTGTGGCAGAGCCGAGGCGCCAGGAGCCAATTCCCGTTGAGAGTGGTAAGCCAGCTCCCATCTTGCTGGAGTCTAGCAATGTACTTTTCTCGGGGACAAGTGTTGTGGAAGGAAAGCTGGCAGGTGTGGTTTTTGCAACTGGCGACGGCACGTTGCTTGGGAAGATTGCGCAGGGGGTGCAGCAGGCACGCCCGCGCTCCTCGCTAGAAGTTCAGATCGAGCACTTTGTACACATGATTGCCCTCACTGCCACTTGCACTGGGCTGTTGTCCTTGGTGGCCAACCTGCTCTCCCCACAGAAGCTTAGTATGGAGAAGGTTTTGCTCAATTCGTCAACCGCTTTTTTCACATTTGTCCCTGAGGGCCTGATGCCAACGGTGACCTTCTCGTTAATGATCTCCTCAAGGCAGATGGCCAAACGGCAGGTGTTGGTCAGAAAGATTGACGCCATAGAAACCCTTGGTTGTGTGAGTATCCTGTGCAGCGACAAAACTGGAACGCTCACCTCAGGCAAGATGACAGTCACAGACCTGGCAATTATGGAATCTGGAAGTCTGACCAAACTATCATTGCAAGAGGCCCAGCAAACAGGGGCAACAAATGACACGTTGAACAAGCTAGTGCAAGGTGGGCTTCTAAATTCAAGTGCACAGGAAAGTGCGGAGCTGCAATTTGTGGGCTCGCCGACAGAGGTCGCCATAGTTTCTGCATGCCGCACCATTGGGGGCAAATCTTTGCAGGAGGTCCGCGGAGCTGCGCCGCAAATCTATGAGATACCCTTTAGCAGTGCTAGTAAGTGGATGCTAACGGCACACGACTCAGTTGAGAAGACGGGCCAGGCAATGCCAAGTGGGTCTGCATCCGTGAGACTCCTCCTGAAAGGGGCTCCCGAGTTTGTCGTGGACTGCTGCAAGCTGTCACAGCAGCAGCTGGACGCTGTCACAAGCTGCTACGAAGGTTACATGGCTCTTGGTAAGCGCGTCCTCTGTGTGGCAGAGTATGACTTTGCAGCTCCAGCAAACTTTGAATTCAAGGGCTCCAGGCGGCAAGATGTGAACTTCCCTCTTTCCAACTACAATTTGCTGGGTGTCTTCGCCATTGAAGATCCTCCGAAGCCTGGTGTCGCCGATTCCATATTAAGTATGAGGGAAGCAGGATGTCAGACGGTCATGGTCACCGGCGACCATCCGAACACAGCCTTTGCGATTGCCCGACGAATAGGAATTTTCGCAGAGGCTGAGGCGGTGGAAGGAAGAGACTTCCATGCAATCACCGGTGCCAGGATCGAGAGCCAGGGAGTGCCTCCTGAGGGAATAAGCCTTGCCGAGGTGGCTGCAGACTCTTCGCTAGCACCAGGCTGCGCAGAATTCTGGAAGATGTGCGTCAAGCATACTCATGTGTTTGCTCGCGTGTCGCCGTTGAACAAACAAGCGATAGTTCAGGCCTATCAGCAGTTTTCAGGTCAAATTGTGGCTATGACCGGAGACGGCGTCAATGATGCTCCTGCTTTGAAGGAGGCAGAGGTCGGTATTGCCATGGGCATCAGGGGCACCGAGGTGGCCAAAGAGGCTGCAGACATTGTTTTGCTCGATGATGACCTTCGCAGCGTCGCAGCTGGCATGGAGCAGGGCCGCCTTTGTGCCGAGAACTTGCGGAAGTCAATCCTGTATACCATGTGTTCAAAAGTGCCGCAGGCTTTGCCAACATTCGCGCAGCTGCTAGGAATACCGGTTGCCCTTACAACCGTGCAGGTCATTCTCATCGACATTGGCACAGATATTTGGACTGCCATCGCATATGCCGCGCAGCCACCGGAAGCCTCCTTGATGCAGAGGAAGCCGCGGCATCCGAGAAGGGATTCAATAGTGAATGGCAGCATGCTGCTTTACTCCTTTGCATACATCGGGGTGATCCAGTCATTATGCTGCTGGGCCAGCTTCTTCTACATGCCAGAGATGTGGAAGCTGTTCAGCAAGACGGAGATACCCGTGGTGTATTCAGCCAGCGAGAAGATTGCCATTCAAGCGGGTACAACCATGTACTACTGGGCCCCCGCCCAAGCAGATATGTTCCAAAACCAAACCCCGCCAGCTCCAGAGCTGAGGCGCTGGTGTGCGGACAAATCGGTGCAGCCTTTGCTCCTTGAAATTGAAAAGTCTGACTTGAGGGATTCGTTGTTTGCGTGATTACTGCGAGGCCGCAACCACGACGTCAATGTCTTTGGCTACTGAGATTGCAAGAAAGTTGTGCTTGGCTGGTTTCTCTGCCGAGACTGCTCCTGCTAGGATAGGCTGCGCGACTGCTTCTGTGGCGTCAGTCTGTCAATTTTTTGAAAGCATGTCAGAGCATAGGCCTCCTACGGCATTCCTAACCAATGGCTCAACTTCTTCATCGCCCGGAGCCCTGGATGTGAGCAGGTCAGTTGTTGGCAATGCAGAGTTTTTAAAAAGCAAGAAGGTTGACGAAGCTGCAGGTGTTGGAGTTCTGTTGCTCTGCCCTCGTGATTTACATCCCTAGCCTGCAGCATCTCAGCGGCACAATTGCGTTACAGTGTTGGATGTTCTGCCTTCAGTACTGCAGAAGAGCGGAAAGACGCGAGGTAACCACACCACAATCACTTCAAAAGCATACGGCAAAGCATGTAGCTGAGAAAGAAAGTGCTATTCTCATGGCATGCGGAGATGCGAACTTATAATGAAAGGCTTCTGAATTTGCTCAACTTATAAGGGAAGCTGACTGATGCCGCGCTTGGGCTGGGGACAACCCATCGCCGCACTTCCAGCACTTCCCAGCAGGGGCCTGCCACATCTCAGCAGAATACAATCTGAGTGCTGTGGATTGCGGGGGGGAGGGGGTCGCTCTTCCAGAGAATTTCGCCATTGGAATATGCTTTCCACCAAACCTGCTTCCGACCAGAAAGCCCGCCGCAATCAGGATCCCCAAATCATTCGGGGGCATTGAACGATTCCTGGAAAACTTTGCACGAATTAAGGCTCCCGATCAGGATTCCACATTGTCACGCGGAAGACGCGGAAGCATTGCGTCTTAGGACGTGTGCTGTTCCTCCTGACATTTGCGGTGCAAGCGCCCTTTTGCGAACACGTTCTGTGAGCAGTTAGGGAGGGGTTATGCAGATCATTTTGTTTGCAAATGGGGGTTGCTGCCGCCCCCGCAGCCCCCTGGCCTTTGTAACAGCCATCCATGTCTGCCATTGTCATCGTTTTAAGTCATCTCATTGCTTTCCATGATCCCGACACCCACCACCCCCACCCACTTTTTGGTGAGGCCATCCAAGCTTGCTGGAGTTACGTGATCATTTTGTTTGCAGATAGGAGGGGGGCTGCGGCCCCCCCGACCCCCCCGCCCTTGTAAACTCATCATCTTTATGGTTTTTTTTTCTCAGAATTTCAATCGTTTTTCACATCAGGTTTCATATTTTTTAATTTATCATGTTCATCGTTTTCAATCACTTTCATCCTCATCCTTTTTCATCATTTTCAATTGTTCATCATGTTTCATAATTTTCATTGTTTTTCTTCACTTCCATCATTGTTCCATCATCTTCATTTTTTCATTATGTTTTATCATTTGTCATCACTGTTCATCATTTCGCATCATTTTCATCACGTTCTTCATCTTCATCATCTCTCATCAGTTTTTCATAAATCACAATTTGAATCACTTTCCAACGATTTTTATCGTTTTCATCATCATCGCGCTTTTCCATTATTCCCCATATTTTTCATCATGTTCTATCATTCTTCTATCATTTCCTCTCATTATTACTATTTTTCATTGTTCTTCATATTTTTCATCGTTTTATAAATTCCATGATTTCGGAGTTCTGATCAGTTTTCCATCTATCATTTTTCAACATTTTCATGATTTCTCACAATTACTCTATCATTTCAAGAGTTTTTCACAATTTTCATAGTTTTTCTATATCATTTTCCTAGTTTTTTTTATGTTTTTCACATTTTTAATCATGTTCTATCATTTTTCCATCGTTTAGATCATTTTAAATTTTTCTTATCATTCTCATTATTTTTCATCATTTTCAAGATTTTCATGATTTTTCGTCAGTCTTCACAGCTTTTGCTTCAGAATCGCGCTCTCGTGTGAGGCGTCCTCCGATTCCATGCCCCCAGCCCAGAAAAAAATCACAACCACAGAAAAAAAAACATCTACCCAGCCATACGCAGAAGCGAGAGTGAGTCTATGCTGAGAGTATGTAGGCATCCGTTGTGAGACCCTATCCTGAGGCATGCCTTTGGCATGAGAGCACTCACCAAGCAGCAGCTGGCCGTTGGGTCCATGGCATTGCTCCTTGGCAGAAGTCCACGCAACGCTGGCCTATGCCAGCAGCCTCAGCGTTGTTGCAGCATCCTTGTCCTAGCTCCCCCCTCAGCATGAAAAAATCGTAAGCACTCGGAAATCATCACTGCTTCCAGGTTTCTCATCATTTTAGTGGACGAAATCCGCAAGATTTGGGTCAGGAGAGCTCCATTTTGCCAGTAGTGGTTGGTCAGCCAGACGCAGGGAACAACGATGCCCCAATGCTCCATCACGAATCACTAGGCTTGTGAGCTGAGGGTTGACTTGGGCTTCTGGCCCTAAACGATACTATATGATACTGTAGTCCGACAGCCCCTCTTCCAAAAGCGACTTGGACAGGAGGGCGGATGCTGCCTTGCCAAAGCCACCGCAGACTCTGCCGGTCCGGGGCCGATGGAAAACTGAGAGAGAGAGAGAGAGAGAGAGCGCGACACACGTAGACAATTTTGAAGTGAACACTGGGAACAATTCTGTGAACGATCATGTACTCCAGTGGAGTCGCCCTGAAGTGCCGTCAACGCATCATTGGAGGAAGACCAGCTGCGGGTCAGTAAGCTGATTGGCTGATTGGTCTGATATGAAATGAATCGTAACATGTCTGGGAAGTCCAGAAATCCAGACGACGCAAAGGGTTTCGGGATGGGTCCTTCCTCAGGCCTAGGCAATGGGCTAAATGGGGCCCGCCGCCGTTGCGGTAAAGGACCTGGAGTGACTCAAGGAAACCTACTAAGCAGGAACAACAAACATGATGGTGGGTGAAATCAAGCCCTGCTATCATAGCCTATATCCCAACATCAAGCAGCTGGTGTGCCTTTGCTTCACGTGTGAATTTGAGAGCCTGAAGGCAAAAGGGGCGCAAAAAGGAGATGAAGAAGCAGAAGCCTTGGAAACAATACCTGACATTGGCGGTTCTGCGCCGACCTCAGCCTGGTACGCAAGTGCTTAACTCACATTTTGACAATCAGTCATTGCAAAGGCGTGAAGAGCTCTTCGAAGTGCTCAGTACAGTACTCTGGACAGCTGTGGAAAACCGTGCGTTTCTTGTTGCTGCCTGGCATCACCAAGTGACCAGGCAGCAGTGCGACCATCGACGACTTTGTGCTGGCCTGGGCGCAAAACAAGATCTTGAGTGCGAAGCGCGGGCGCAGCTGCCTGCTTATGCTGTTGTGAGTCTTCATGTTTCCGAAGCTGTGGCCTTCAGTCAAGCTGCCCATCCTTGCACCCAGCTGCTCCCACTCAGAGGTCCGCTTCAGCTGTTCGTAATCGGAGGGCTATGGCTAGAGATAACCCCTCCTCCCCCCGCTATCTAAGGATATTAGGGTGAACGGTGGGGAGTCCCCCGAGGAAAATATGCTTCCTCCTATTTCTGAGGCGAGGCGGTGGGGAGTGGTTAGGGGTTTGGAACCAGGAGGAAATCAAGCAGGAAACGGAAAGAGATCACTAGGTTGGACGTCTTTTGGTAGTAATGCACGCAAAAGCACACCATGCTCTGTCTCGGCAAGCTTTTGCTTCAGGGAGACAATTGTTGCATGTCCCCCCAAATAAGAGCCTCTGATTTTTTCGACCTGCATGAACCTAAACTAGCGCATGTGAGCTCCTTTGCTACTGTGATATGCCAGCCGGCCCCTGGAAGTAGTCATTTTACAGAGATGCGCAAACACCGCCCGAATCCTAGGGCCCCTCATTTCACAGAGCCGTTCTACCTGGGACCCACCGTTTTACATGTAAAATGGGGTGTCCCAAGGTAAAGGGTGAATGCAGTGGGGTACTCAGCCACCACGCCATTATAATCAATTCGAATCTTTCACTCATTATCCCCCCAAACCCTCTCCAACTTAGACCACTCTTCCCCTGCATACCCGGCACTAAATGGAAACATTTCCTATGTTCTCTCCCCCCCCTCCCCTAGATAAGGGGAGGGCATTGCTTTTGATCCAATCACAGTTCAAAGAGCAGATCGCAGTACAAAGCGGGCGGATCACCCCAAACAAAACTGCAAACAGTACTGCCTCCGCACCATGTGGCTCGGACTCTTTTGCATGGTCCGTATCGGCAGGGTACAGTGAGGCTTTGGAGGATTGGGTTTAGGGTTGGGCTTGGGGTTGGCGGTCGTTTAGGGTTGGGCTTTGGTCAGCACCTAGGTGACGATGTAGGGTTCAGAGGCTGGTGGAGGTTTAGCATGGGGCTTTGGTTAGGGTTTTCAATTGGGGTTTGGTTAAGGGATTTGGGGTTGGTGGTGGTTTCGAGTTGGGTTTGGTTGGTGTTCAAGGCTAGGTCCTAAACCGCCACCAACCCCAAGCCATAAACCCGAACCAAACCCCAATCCTAAGGGGTGGGGGTTTCAGCTTGGAGTCACTGCCGGTTTTGGGACTGGGGGCTAGCTAGGGCTTATGGTTGGGGTTTGGTTAGGATTTTGGGTTGGGGGGTTGCGGTTTAGGGTTACAGTAGGTTTGAGGGGTGTGGCTTTTGGTTTAATTTTCTTGGCTGTCTTCTGCCTGGCTGTTAGGACTTTAACTTTTTGGGTTCCCTACTTTCTATATTAAGGAGGCTAAAAGTTGAACTTTTAGGGGGGGTCCTAAAGACAGCTAAGTTTTCAGTTTCGGGTTTGGCTTTAGGGTGGGGGTTCGGTCAGGGCTCAGGGTTTGGTTTGGTGACGGCTTCTGGTCGGTTAGGTAGGGCTTACGGTTTCGGGCGACAACAAAGTTGGAGTTTGATCCAGGTTTGCTGTTGCACCACCACCTCCCCACCATATACCCTACCCTACCCTACCCTGCCCTCACCCCTTCACAACCCAGCCCGACATGTCCCTACCCTACCGTACCCTACCCCAACCCCACCACCCTGCCTTGCCCTACCCAACCGACCCGGTTACCCTACCCGCCCTACATGGGATTCACAGTTTCAAGGTTGTTTCTGCTTGTTGAGCATTAAATTTCAGAGTTTCAGTGTTTGGTGTTGGGGCTTATGGCCTGTCGCTTATGTCCCCACCCTGCCCGACTTAGCCTACCCCCGACCTACCTTACCCTAATTACCCTGCCTGCCCCACCCTACCCATCCTGCTACCCTCCCTACCAACCATACCCACCCTACCCGCCCTGCCTACCCAACCTCACCCTACCCACCCGACCTCACCCTACTGACCCTGCCTAATCTGCCCTTACCCTGATGGTGGCCCTCACTGCATTGCTATTCTTTATCTTTTTGCATGATGGCAGCTTTGTGGCGCATTTCGGCTGCGCCACCTGCAGCAGCTGAATTTCAAGAAGTTGGACACATCGACGTGGCCTGGTACGGGCGGTACCAGTCCTCGTTTCCTTGTTATGAAGTAGCTGTCGTCATTCCCAATTCCTCCGCATGAGCAGCCTTTGCGCACGTGATGTATACACACGAAGGTAGTCAACGAGAAATCCCCAGGTGTGATGGCGACCTCGCACCGATTTCAGCGAGCTCTTTGCTTGGCTCTCGCATTAGGCTGGTCAATGTGCTCGTTTGTGCTAACTTTTTGGCATAGTTGGGAGGCGCTTGGTGCGCGATCTCTTCAGCTTTCAGCGCCCCGGCGCAGTCGAGGAGCTGGGTGACTCAAAGGAACACATCTCACAGAGGTCAGACAGGAAACCTTGTCAGGATTGCACGTCGGGTCTACGAATCTGGCAAAGCAAATGTTGGTGCTGAAATCGCCGACACAGATGCGATTTTCCCAGGCTTGTCACCCACGTGCACATCATTGCAGCTGAATGCTGTAAGGTACAGCCTCCACCACCGCCAGTCCTGGAATGCGATGAGGGATGCATGACCGCCATCTTTGACTGCATTGAGGAAGGCTGCTCGGTCGATGCGTATCTCAGCTGTAACAGGAAAAGAAAATTCTACCGGCAGTCTCCCCACTAGGCTGTGGGGATACCAAAGGACCACGATAGCTTGTTTTTGTCAGCAATGTTAGCCCGTCAAGCATGAGGCTCCTCAAGCTAGACCAGAAGTTGGCCGAAGATGAGCAGCGCATTTCTGACACCGTGAAGGAAATCGAAGGCGTGCAAAAGACAGCTCCTCATCTTAAGCGGCAGGACATGCTTACGTAAGCTTCAGTGCAATGGCGTGGAACACACCAAGTCCGCTGCTGACCGAGGCGTACTCGCCGGAGAACGCAGGCTTTGTGCAGCACTAGGACAGAGAAGCATTTTGACTTTGAGTCTTCGCGTAGTCTGTGCTACAGTGAGCATGGCCCGGCAATTGCATGACCATGTCACGACAGGCGGAACTACAGGCAAAAGTTGTCTACATACGCGGAGGAACTACGTGAAAGTCAAACCTCCACTTCCTGGCTAAACGGCGCATAAACAGATCCTGCAAGTGAGCGCGAGGGTCCGGCTCACACGTGTGTTTCATGCGATAAGAAACACCTTTTGTTGGGCGGCTGTAGCCCAGCACGTACAGACTTCGGTAATTCACAACATACTCCCCCGCTAGGAGGTCTACATGCATGTACTTCCTGAACCATTTCAAAGCAGCTCGGAACGTTCGCAAGTCTTCTGCAAACGTCAAAGCTTCTAAAGGTAAGTCGCATGGGCAAGAGTGTCCCATTGAGTAGGCTGGTCGCTTCCCAGCCCGAAATTGGTTGACGTTGACTGGTGGCCGTAACCCCATGCTAAAGATGAAATTTACAAGAAGCTCTGTCATCGGTGTGTCTGCATGTGGGTGACTGCAGGCCCACTGCAATCCTTTAGCCCAAGCCAAGAGTGCACAGGCAAATTGGTGAGAGTACGGACACCGCAGCAGGGCATCATCCTCAACAATCGCAAGGTGCAAAAAACGATTGCCGGACACATCCAAAACCGAAAGCTCGAATCGCGGCGATGCACGGGCCTCCGCGTTTTTTGAGCAAATTCAAACTGGGCGCATTGGATGAGAAAGGACTGGTACTGCCTCACCACGCCTCGCAACTCACTTTGTTTTGCATTCATCACACGCAGAGTCGGCAAGATGATTATAATGATGACTTATGTCCAACAAATGAGGAAAGTGCGATTTCAAGTCCAAGTGTGTTCTGACTTTGATGAAAGTCACCGTTCCTTCAGGCCGGCTGGCCATTAACAAATCAACAATCTCCCACACATCCATGTGTTTCATGAGAGGTGCGCAGGAACAGGAACCCTTCGATCAAAGCTATTCACGTATACTGGCCGCATCCACAGCATTCTGGCAGTCAGAGTAGATTGTGCACTGTTTGGACAACTGAAGTGCAAGCAAAACGGCACACACCTCCGCTCTGTCATTGGATTGTTCAGCCCTGGCAACAAATGAGAGTGAACGGTGCCCTTAGATTTACAACTCATGTCAGCTACCACAGCAGCACACGCCGCCACAGAGGACAGCCTCTGACTTGGCCAGTGGCAAGATCCATCAACAAATGTGTGCAAATCGTCACATGCATAGGCATGACACTGAACAACGCGATTGTATTTGGAATTTGGGGTGTCACAATTCGGGCAAAACAAATTTCTGGAAAGGTCCCATTTTGACACCACATTCGTGTAATTGCCACCGTGCAGAAAAAACCCAACAATGCCTAGCTCATTAGGCTGCAACTGCGACAACAAGAGCCGCATTCCTTGAATGTCGACCACGCGTAGTTGGAACCCTGGCCTGGACGCAGAAGTTCAGCACATACCGTGCGCATCCAAGTCTGGCACGAGGCAAAGCGCAGAAACTTGACAGAACACCTTAACCAATCAAGAGGACCAAATCAACGACGCATGAGTTTTGACCCATGAGGAATCCACCCTAGCAATGAGGCAGACTTCGCTAAAGAACCAGTGGGCCGATTTGGCAATCCCCCACTATTCAACATGCGAAGAAACTCGGCCTTAAAGGCAGGCAACTTCCATAGAAACCTGCGCCAGTAGCAACACCTTTGCATGAGATCAAGTAACTGTGGGTCGCAATCATCCCCGGTGAAAGAAATTGCAATCTTGGAATTTTCCGCAGGCCCATTGAAACCCAATGCCTTGGCAGTTGCAGCCCGCCAAGATTTGAAATCAGATCTTGAAACTTGCGCCAAGGACTGTCCAAAGGTGCACTTAGACGAACAACCTCCCAGCGCCAGTCGCTGTTCAAAGCGCGCTGGTAGCTTGCTAACTCTAACTTTAGTCATGGATGTTGTCATTTTTGTGAAATCGCGACCTCCAAACAGTTTTCTGTCTGCGCAACGTGTAGTTGATATCAACCCCCAAATCCTTGGCATGCCACATGAGCGGAACGTGAACACCATCGTAAGATATGTGCTGCAGACGTTTGCGGAACTCTGGGGTGGTGGTCCAGACCCAAGGTTTTTCAGGGAAGCAGACTGGCAAATTTGTCACAGAAGCTAGTAGATACCAGTATGGTGTGCAAAGCCCAACAACCTTTGACCAGCCTGAGCTATGTATGCACAGAAATGCCGATGTTGGTTGTCCCACCTCTTCTACCCGGCAGGCACACTCGCATGGCTAAACAACTTCCTCAGTCGCAGTGGAAGCCTACGAGCACAGCTGCAGGCGCTGCAGGGTGTCAAGGACTGCCATGGTATGCGGTGATCAGATAGTCTGGGTGCGGATAGTCTGGGATACTCTGAAGCTTCTGCTCCCTCCGAAAAAGAAGAGGTTTGAAGCCAACCATATTGGCAAAGTTTCAAGCATCTTTGTCTTCACAGACCTTTCTCCCTAGCGTATACAGCATACTTCCACCTGCAATTGCACGCACGTCATTGCAGGGTAGAAGCTTGAAAGTTGCATCAGACCTGCAGCCTGCAAACGACAATCAGCAACTAGGTCAGGCATTATGCCGGCCACACAGCAGCATTTAGTGCTGCCTTGGCCTGGCACGACATTACCTGAACAAATGGCCCAAGTCGCTTGGAGGACTCGAACTTCATTCAGCAAATTGTCAAGGCAGCGTCTGTTGCTTTCGGCGGTGGTCGGCCCAACGATTACCCCAAGGCACTCTACTCTTCGCATGTAGGTTCCAGTGCTAGCATAACTTGAGTTGAAACGTTTTGGTCCTGAGGTTGGTGTGTCTCCGTACTCCTCATGATTTGGGCGACATCGGAATGTCTCAAAGGGCAGCACTTTTTTGAACATTTGTTCGGATTCGGAGAAGTTAAGAGCAATGTTATTATGCTTTTATCCTAGTCGAGTGCCTCTTGGCGAACGTGTCATGAGGCCACACTCTTGCTTGTGAGGCAGGGGCAGGCGATTGGCCAAGGTGCTGCTTTGGCCTGTTGGCCTGGAACCATCCCAGGTTTGGCCTTTGCAGAAGGACAAAGGTTCGTTCCGATGCGAGTTTTGCGTGTTTCAATTTCATCATTAAGACACATCCGCTGCAGCTGACAGGCAGGGAAAAATGGAAAAATCTGTTCTGCACCAGGGAATGAGGACAGTGAGGTGTAGTGCATCCTCAACAGCCGTCGATTAGAAACCGAGTCTGAAATGGAGTGAATTTTGTGGCCTACGTCAGTTCTCAAGCTCCAGATCCGCAATCAGGGTCCTGCCACCGCCCCTTTGGACATGACAGAATGACGAAAGCATTCTGGGCTTGGCAAAATGCATATGAGGCGTTGGAGAGATCAAACCGCATGAAGCCAAATATGATTGGCTACCAGCAGAACAATCTTCTTGCTTCTTTGAGTTCTTCCCGGAGGTGGGTTCAGGCAACCAACCTTTTTGCCAGAATGCGGCAGCAGACTGGCGCGAACGTTGTGACGCTCAACCTGCTGTTGAAAGCTAGCCTGGCTTCTTGGGCAATGGCGATGGCCATTCTCATGAAGTCGCAGGCCATGAGACTGCAGGCTGACACAGTCACGCACAGCACAGTCATTGGATCTTGCAAAGGGCAATGGCGGCCATGGCGCTGCGCAGAGCTCCTGCTGTCCTCTGCCATGCGTCAGCAGCTGAGGAGCAACATCATTTGCGAAAGTGCTCGTATGCGGGCTCGCGGCGCTCGCGGTGACTGGGAAAGTATCATGGTCATGCTTGTCATGATGGCGATGGTTTGCATTGAGACTGACCACATTAGCATCAACACGGCGGTCGCGACATGTGGAAATGCTGCATGGCAGGAAGCACAGGGGCTGGTCTCCACAAAGAGCACTTTTGACCTAGAAACATACAACACCTTCGCTTCTGCATGTAGCAAAGACGCGGCATGGGAGCAGTCACAGGAATTTTTGAGTCAGGCTCGATTGAAGTCCCTGCGCTTGGATGCCTACTCAAGAAGTGCACTACTTACGCAAGGCATGCGAAGAAGCGGCACAATGCTGACACAGAAATGGCAAGCATCCTTGCTGATCTACTCAAGCTTGATTCGGCTGAGCTCAAGGGCAACAGAGATTTCCTGGAACGCTGCGGTGGATTTCAGCGAGCCTGCTGGCTGGAAACAATGCCTGGATCATATCCTGAAAGGACGTCACTCTCTGCTAAAAACGATGGAGGTGACTGCTGTCAATGCGTTGTCAGGTCAATGGAAGCAGGCGGTTGACTTTTGCAGGAGAAGGGTGCTAGAAGCCGATTCAGGTAGTTGCTTGAGCCGAGCATGCGCAAGGTTGAGCTGGACTCGGACTCTTCTAATATATTCCAGCTTGCAGCAAAACGCTGCTGGAACAGACCATGTCTACTGGAATTCGCTGGTTGCTTCAAGCAGGCCCAGAGATTGGCAGCTGCGACTTGTTTTGGTCGACCAGATGTGCCACGCGGCTTTGCGTGCAGACCACCACACGCACAGTTCTGCAATAGCGGGCACAGAGGCAGGTGATTGGCAGCAGGCTGTTTGCATGCTTCAGCATGCTGTCTCAGGAGGTGTGCTTGCCAATGCAGTGGTGGTCTCAGCTGTTCAGGTGGCATGTATGCAGGGACTGAACTGGAAGCGGCCGCTGGCGATGATGCAAGGAGAAGCAAGGGGAAACGCAGTCACTTGTGCAGCGACTATCGGCGCGTGCGGTAAATGTGACAAATGGGAGCTGCAGCTAGGAGTGCTTTCCAGCTGGGCATTGTTCCGCTTACACCGTGACAAGACCCTTTACGTCGACAGCAGTTGCTTGCACACACGATCCTGGCGCTCAGTTTTGGATGTGACGTCTGACATGTGGTGCCAAAGTCTTGCGCAGGATGATCGCAGCATGGGTGTTGTATGTGCTGCATGCGGAGTGAGCAGAAACTGGCAGCTTATGATATTTCTGGCCCAGTTGAACATCCCTGGATCTGACCTTGCCAAATCTAGCAAATTCGTGCTTCGCGAAAGCTGCACAATTCAGGATGGGCGCGTGCTTGCCAGCTTGCAGGAAGCCGCAGCCCAGGAGAGCGTGAGAAGGCTTCAAAGTCACCTTGCGCAACATCTATGCAGAGCCGAAAAGTTTGCATCTAGCATGGGGCAATCTGGCGGTAGGCTTGTTCTGAAAGAATCGAGTCCAGAGTCCAGCCTTCCATGTCTTGTTTGAATGCTGCAGACATGCTACAATTCAGACACATTCAGGCACTGAGGTCAGTCTGCAGCCAATTACTGGCTGACTAAACTTCCCGTTTCTCCAAAGCTGCTGATTTGCTCGGGCCCGACGAGGAGACGTTGAGCTGTTTCTTTCAGAGCAAGAGCTGCCTTCATGTTGGAATTTGCAGGGACTGTACCGAGAATGGTTCTTGGGTGCTTGCAGCTGTGAGGCTTTCTTATGGCGCCTCATCAGCAAGCACGACCTGGAAGGGTCATTGCTGTGATTGCTGTAGTTGCCGCGATGACAGCTGGTCAGATGATCCAAGCTTTCCTTGTGAATCCTGGCAGATGCCTGAGCAGCTAGCAGAAGTTGTCCAGTGTCTAGATGGACCATTTTGGCGCGCAAATTCTCAGGCCGGAGGGCAGACTCGGACGGTGGCGTTGATCGACGAACTGCCTTGATGCTAGCTGTCGGCTGGCCCTCAGCAGCTCAAGCTGCTGCCAGTGCTCCTTCCAAGTGGGCAGGACGCTGGGATGATCCGGATGCTCCAGGCTGCAGGCGGGAGATAATCATGAACTTCGACGGCACAAAGGGGCGGCTGGTTGGTGCGGAGTCCACAGGCATGAACCCAGGCACGTGATTTCCAATGGTGGTTGGTTGGTTGCTCTTCTGTGGAAGCGGCATTCGGATATGTTCAATCTTTTTGTGTCCTTTTTGTTTTGGGCGGGGGTGGTGGTTCTTGGCTTCTTGGCTTCTTGTTTTCTCGGCTTCTTGGCTTTGCATCTCCGCTTTCTGGCTTCTTGGCTTCTCCGATTGCGGCTTCTCGGCTTTGCGGCTCTTCGGCCTGTTCGCTTCTGGGCTTTCTGGCTTCTTGGCTTCTCCACTCTAAGAGATTCAGAGACCCGTGCAAGAGACGGGAAGACAAGGAAAGAAGAGGGCATGCAGAATCAAAGTGGAATAGCATTAAGACGGAGTGAAAAGCACCTGACAGAATCACATCACATCCAAACTATGACATAGGTGAGCCTGTGTCTACCCACCTCGAGGAACACAAAAAAAGATTCACGTTGCCTGAGCCAGAGGATGCTCCACCTTTGCCTGACTCACCAGGCTTCATCCTCGGGGGCAGACTTGTGTTGCAGGCTTTGCAGGGCAATGCAAGGCAAAGCCTTTAAGCAACAGGAGTTCTCTAATAGGGAACTGGGTTTTTCTGCAATATGTCAGAATCCTTGGCCCGTCCTTCATGACTGCGGTGTTGCTTGAGCAAGTTTAGAGAGTCAATCTGCCCTAAGGCGGGCAAGCAAGAGGGACACTGTAGCGAGAGTGGTTGTAGTATTTAAATCGAACAAGGCTGGTGCTTTCTTTGAATCTGCTGCGCTGTCAGGCTTGTCCGCAGCTGAGATGGCCCGTGAAAAAAGGGTCTTGGACACAAAAAAAGGGTGTGCCCGCGGTGATGCACTCAAGTTCTGGGAAGCCAAGCTTTCTTCTGCGGGCAAGGACTCCAACGAACTGACGATTGACTTGTCAAAGACGGGTATCCCTGGTGCTAAGCAGGTCATTGCAAAGTGGGATGGAAATGGAATTGTCTTTCCAGATGGCTCCAGGTGGACCCGTGGAGGCAGCGTTGCAGGTGGTAGAGGAAGCTGAAACCATCAGCTTTGCACGCAGAAAAGACTTGAACTAGTGATAGCTAACAGCTAAGCCAAAGATGCGGAAAAAGATGCGGAAAACTGTGGAAATATGACCGGGCAGTCAAGTTGTTGTTTGGGAGAGCTTTGATTTGCACTGTTTGAACAGACCTTGCGCGCATTCCAGATCAAAACAGCAATGGTCACACACCCGGCTGGTGTGCATACAGGCATGCAGCCTCATGCAGCCTTGTGCAGCTGATCAGTTGACCGGCACTGGGGGGCTGAGGGGTTTCCTGCTCGAAAGCGGCATTGCCGGACCCAAGCAAAAGCATAGGCTCAAACCGTCACGGCTAAGCGTGCAACGGCGCGTGGCACAGCGATTCAGCTGAAGACAGAGCTCAGGTAGCTGCCCAGAAATTTGCCAGATAGCTGGGTTCAATGTCACATGCTGGAGCCCTGATTGAAGCACGATCTAGGATAGAGAAACGTATGAATCAGGCAATGCTCGCAAGCGGCAGGGAAGGATCGCGGGACCGGTCAATCGGGGAACAGCAATAGAATGCGTACGGAAAATGTATTTCAATTTCAGGAACCGTGGCAAGTGGAACTGCAGCAGGGATTTTGTTCAGTGACAGGGAAACTTCAGTCGATGCTTTTGTTAAAGCCACTCCTCCCACTTCCCGTCTGCTGTTCCTGTTGACGTTTTTGCCAAGTCTGTGCTTTCTTCTTGAGTGGCCTTGAGTTTTCCCGACTCATGCCCCGTTTTCTCAGCTCGCACCTTCCCTTCATGCCGGGCTCATGCCGTCCTCTCTTCTCACTGACACCGTCTCTTCTTCCCAAATCTTGCCTCGAGGCAAAATCATAACCCTTCTTCTTGAAAGAGCACACCCCCAGGTTTTGATGAAGCAATCAATACCTCCGTGCCTCATTTGGAAGCTGTAGAAGGAAAGCATTTAACTTGATGTGGCCCGGGCTGCTTGTTACAGCTATGTGAACCCGTCGGATGGTTCAGCGGAAAGCGCTGTGTTGCAGGGCAGGATGGGACCGGTGCCTCAATCTGATGACCGCTGGAGAACGTCCAGAAGCGATCGCAAAGGCTTACAGCAAAGCCATCTCAAAAAGTGGGAAAGCCGCTGAGTGGCAACATTCCCTGCAACTGTTTCAAAGCTGCCGTGCAACTATGGCAAGCCTGAGCAGAACTCCAGATGCAGTATGTTTCAACTCGACTATTTCTGCATGTGGGGCTGGATACAACTGGCAAGTTTCAGGTTTACTACTGGTTGACATGGAGAGAAGAGAGGTGACTCCGGATATTGTCAGTTTCAGCTCTGTACTGACAGCTTGTGAACGTGCCATGCGATGGCAAAGCGCCTTGGCCCTCTGTGAGGCAGTTCTGTGCCGGTCACATGCTGGTCGACTCCAAGCAGACCTGCTCTTCTTGACATCTGCCATAAGCGCTTGTGAGAAGGGCCAGCAGTGGCAATGGGCTTTGAGCCTTTTGTCTCGAGGACTTCTGTCCCAAATTGAAATGGATGCTGTTTGCTTCGACACAGTCATGAGCGCCTGCGAGCGATCGCTGCAGTGGGAGTGGATCCTATCATTGTTCTGGCAAATGCGGGCCGTAGCTGTTGTGGCAGATGCTATGAGCTATGTCGCAAGCATCACTGCATTCAGTGCAGCAAAGAAATGGCAGCATTGTCTGCATCAGCTCACAAGAATGGACCGCAGTGGCCTAGGCGTGAATGTCTTTGCACTCGACGCAGTTCTTCGCTCAACGGGCTCCGAGCCTGAATCTTTCAGGCGCGGCACATTGCTGGTGCAGGGCAGGCTCGGCAAGAAGAGGCTTCAAGAGCCTGGATTCGTAGGAGTTGCAGAATTTGTTTTGCTTGCAAGTATTCTGTGTAGCCTTCGTCCACGCATGACAGATGATTGGACAATTCGGATGATTGAACGTCAGGCCATGGAACCTGCAAGCTCCCTAGCTGCTAAGACGGGGCAGTCAGGGGGGCGCAGCACTCAAGGGTTGAGTGACTTCGGTCAGTTAGCGTGCTGCGACCTTCTTGAGCAGTGGTGGCTGACGAAAAAGCTGCAAGCCTCGAGCTAGCTTACCAGCTATGCTGAGCGCCCTTCCACGTGTCCCGAGTTTGAAGCACTGGTTCCAGGCTCTGCCTACCCAACCCAATGTAGAAGTTGAGGGTCAACAAGGGGGGCAAAGTGAAGAGCATGGTCGTGAAGAGCCCTGCAATGGAGTCTTGTTAGCAGCACGAAGTCTAGCAAGACATGTCGTGGTGAAGCTCAGACAGTGTGTGGGCGCACTGCAGCCATGGCACTGAATGGGGCGGATAAAGAGAGGTGCAGCGGATAGCAAGCTGAAGCAGCAGACAGTTTCCTGGCTTTACAGGACCATGCAGGACCCTTAAACCAGGCCGAGATCACACATTAACAGCTGGAGGACGATTCATTTTTTTGGGGGGAGTGATTTTTTTTGGGTTGTGTGGTCCTCTGGTCGTCTGGTCCGGCGGTCCTCTGTCCCCAAGTCCTGTGGCCTCCCAAGAGACCAGTGAACTACAGCGAGACCAGTAAACTACAGCATTTCGAGCTTTTGAAAAGGCTGCGAATACTCATTTGCGGTTATTGCAAGCCTGCAACAGTTGTAACTTGCAGCATGTGGAGTTTTCTGAAAGGCTACAGGTACCTACAACTATAGATTTAGTGGTTCTTCAGGGCTATGAAGAAAGCAACTTACAGCATGTTTTGCTCCTGAGAGGCTACGAATATGGTAAATTACGGCATTTGCGGCCACTGAAGACCTACGAATGTTGCAAATTACCGCACGTGGAGCTCTTGAAAGGCTACGAACAGCAGAAATTACAGCATATGTGGCCCATGTGGCCGTGGCTTTGGAAAGGCTACAAATATGGGAAATTGCAGCATTTGGGATTGGGGCCTGGGTGAGGCTGCAAACACGATAAATCAAAGCCCATGGAATGCATGAACTGCTTGAAAGCACATGACAGCAGTTGGAAATCTTGTAGAAAATGTAAATTCCCACATATGTAATGCAAGAGAACTGCTAAAGAGCTACACGCTCTCATCTTCGGCCATGTTTTGCGAATGGGGGGGGCTGCGCCCCCCAACCCCCCCGCTATTCTAAAATGCGGGGCACAATGCTTAAAGATCACATGAAAGGCGTGAAGGAAGGTACATGTTCTTCGTCCATGTTTTGCACATGGCGAGTGGCTGCGACCTCTGATCCACCCCCCCCGGCTCCTTTGCAACGCGGGTATGATTGGTATGATTCTTATTCTTATTTTCGTCTAATTTTTTTTTAGCACTGTTACTACTATTTCTTTTGTTACTGCTATTTTAGTTTTACGGCCAAAAGTAATGTGCTGCCTGCACTATTGTTTGCTGTCATCGCATTCTCGAAGCCCTGAGCCTCAAACCCTAAACCCTACCCCTAAAAACTAAAAACCCTAAACCCTAACCGTAAAAACCCTGGACCCCGACCCTGAAAACCCTAAACCCTAAACCCACTTCAAACCCAAAACTCTAACCCTTACAACCCTAGATCCCAACTCTAAAAACCCTAAACCCTAACTAGACATAACTTGGTAAACCAAAACCCTAAAAACCTTAGACCCTCAGCTTAAAAACCGTAAGCCCTAGCCCTCAAAACCCACAACCCTAACCCTAACTAGGCCAATAAGATAACGATGATGATGATGATGATCGTGATGATGATTACTATAAGTATCAGTGATATATATATATATATATATGTATATATTTTTCCGAAGGTTGTTGTTACTATTTTTTGCCATTACTATGATGATGATTAATAGTAACAGTATGATTATTATGAAAAACACTGGATTTTGATTT